TTTTCAAAAACACAGTATTTCAAAATACTGTATACTTGGCAGTTTTAAAATATTAGGGGATTTGCTTCACCAGTTAAATTTTAAATTTTGCAGATTTAATCAAAAAAACAATTTATCATCCTGATATAAATACATTTAAAGTAAAAAAAAAGACCCATCCTCCATTAAAATATTAGAATTTTAATTTCAAAATGTTTCTGCATTACGTCTGCACTGAAATTGATCAAAGCTGATGAAACCTCAAACTCTTGCTTGTAAAAAAACTGTTCAACCAATTAACTTAAACACTTGGTAGATATGAGAAAATACAACTTAAAACAAGTGTCTCAGTAGTTTTCTTTTCTAATTACATCCATACTTACTATAAATAACTTGGTATGAAATAATTAAACAATTCCATGACTCTTTACTGCTCTCTTGTGGTAATTAAATTGAAATACACCAGCAATTCAAACAGTCGACGTTAAATGGATTGTTCATTTACACACACTAAAACTACCTCTTCTAGTAGGGCAACTTTTTTTTCTTCTTCTTAAAACTGGATATCAGTGAATACAACATACTGTAGTACTCTATCAGTTATGCACCAATAGGTCTCAATCATTGGCATTAAACTTACTTGTTTCTCACAAGACTATTTTAATTCCAAGAATGAAATGAATTTAAGCTAAAATTAATCAGATTATGTTACTGAAAACAATTGCTTTTTTTCTACACCCAACACCAAGCCTGACTTCCTTACTGCTTTTCTACATTGTGCCATGAAAGCAATGTTTCTTAATTCTACTTTTAATATTAACTAAGATTAATTTTACAAGTCTGAATGCTGATCAATTGAGTCATCAGCGAGAAGAACATTGGATGAATGCAATATTGGAATGCAGGGCAGTTCAGATATTGCTTGGACTAGTTTAACTAGGATTACAGCCATATTATTTACTACCTTGCTTTTTCTAGTCTTCCGAACTAAAAGTACCCCCTGTTCCAGACTTAATACAAACTTAGCACTAGGTTTATTTGCAAACCAGAATTGGCTTATAATATTAAGATATTTGTTTTATAGTCATCATTCTTTACATGTTAAGGTGACATATAATGATTTGTCTAATTTCATCATACACAATTATGTATTTGGATCTAGTGTTGGAGCTGTATCAGGTAAATGCTACTCTAGCGTCTGCAGCTAAAATAAAGTTCCATAAAAAATAAGATTAAAGCCTTATCGATTGCCAATGCAAATGTTTGTGAGGTCCATATTGTGAATTGATATAGTATCAAACCTAATGAGCCAAAAATATAAAATAGGACTAGCTTTGAGTTCCAGGCTAAGGTCAAACTGAACATCTCATCTCTACATTTATCCATTTTAAACAGCTAAAGCCTAGTCTTCCCTCACCATTTTCCTAAACCTAACTTGGTCCAAACCACAGCAATCACCTCAATTCCTTCTCAACTATCTTTAATTTAATCTCAAAATGCACTTCTAGAGAAGAAAATACTATTGCTGAAACTGAGATTTAGTCTGAATGGTTAAAATATAAGCTCCTAAAGAATAACTTTTGTTGCATTCACGTCAATACTGGAATGGACTATAGTTAAAGCCTTCAGATATTAACTAGATTTGGGGTAGATAAGGTTTTTTTTTACTCAAAGTTCAAACAATGTATTATTGGTTTTACAGTGTTGTGTCTTGTGAAGTGCCAACACAAAGATCACATCACAAAAAGGTAGTGCAGAAACTTAAAGTCACTTGTTTTCACAAATGTATACTGATGAAAAGCAGGCCAAAACTAACAAAACTGTGAAACTGTGCAATTGCTTTAAAATTTAAAACCAATAAATTAAGAATCATCAGGAAAGAAAACCAGAAATGACTAAAGCCAAATGGATGTTGAAAAATATCCTGGCAACTGCAATATACACTAAGTCAAAAATATAGAATACCAAACTTCTTAAAAAACTGACAAAAAAAATGAACAATTATGCAAGAAAGTGCTTGCTTTTTTTTAAAGCGTGACAGTCACATTACTGCAGTCATTACCTCTAAAATAGCTTTTTTGTTATTTGAATGGATAGGAATTTGTCTATGGTGGAACTAAATCATCTAATATTTAAAGATACTCAAGTCTATTTTTAGACTTTTACCTTTATGTGTAGAATATACATTAATAGTAATTTAAACATTTTAAGGTTAATACCAAACTACAAAGAAAGCTTTGAGTAGCTTAGGACAAATAAGTAAAAAGATTCAACAAAAAAAGCTTAAGAATTAAGACATTATACATCTAAATTGTTTTTGAAGATTTTTTTCCCCCAAGCTGAAGACCATCTCTAATCAGAGCAAACACAAACTACCTCAGGATGAATGAAGCTAGGGTTACCATGTGTCTGGTGTTTACCCAGAAAGGCTAGATTTCAACTGGCAGCTTATTCATCAAGCTCCCAATGTGTAATTTAAGAGTAGCACTTTGTGCCAGGATCTGTTGGCACCATTTGCAACAGCTAACTGAGAATATCCTTGTTTGCTCTATGGAAAAGTGACAACTCCCTATAAGGAACTGATGAATGATTCTGTTGCAGTGTACGGATTCATTTTGATGTTACCGTTTCTGTTGTAGTTTAAAAGTGTAGGTTGATCATGTTACAAATGTTACTTCTTTAAAGAGGATATTTTGCTAGGATTTTCAGGCATATTACTTAAATACTTTACCCTCTTAAAAGGAAGACTTGAGTAGAAGAAATACAAGTAGTAAACTATGAGGACAGCTGGAAACAAATACCATATCCACTTCACTTAAGAACAATCCTTTATCACATTCAGTGGCTTAATAGTCATCTGACCCCCAATATAAAGTAATTCTAATATCACTACCATTGCTTCCAATTAATAAAAATGGGAAACAAAGCTTTACAAAGCCACCATTTACTTCTTCAGCTTTGAGATGGTTTCCAAAGTCTGCTCCAATATATTGATGAAAGCTTCATTTCATCACAGCAGGTCTGTATCCACCAGACTGTTCTTTGTTAACTTGTTACATTAAGGAAAAATTACAGTCAAAATGGAAATCGTGCTTCATTATTTATAAGCGCTTGAGATGCAGCTGGAAACTGGAACAGCCAGTACCTTGTTCATGACAACTTGAACAAAGTGCTTGGAATCAATGCCAATGATATGCTAGTCAGGAAATGTCAGAACCACATGTACCGTATGTATACTATACCTATATAAAGTGCTTGATGACAGAACAGGCTTAAATGACTCAAAAAAGGACCATTTACACACCCCTCACGAAATAAAACAAAACATCACACATAGATACAGCATTTATGCAGATGGAGGTCATGGCTATAGTCAAGACATTGCATTACTGACATTTAGCCTGTCAGCCCTGTCCAGTCTTTAGCAGATGAAGCTAGATTGGTGGGTATGCAGCTATAAATTCATAATAGAATAATAAAATATGGATACAGTACATGCAGTTAATCATAAGCCAAGGTCAGCTCGTAGTAGCTCAATGAAGATATTCACGGGTAGTAAAGACACTTCTCCCTAACGCCAATGTTGCCTGGTGCTTTGTCTACAACAACAAATTTAGTGTCTCATCACAAGCCAAAAGCTCTTCCCAGTAAACAATAAGATATCTTCTCTATGCCCTAAACAGCAGGTTAGGAGGTCCAGAAGATAAAGCCTTGTCTTCAGAGTGTCAGAATTCACCATTGACTCATTCATCCTGTGATTGTTTACCTTGTATCAAAGTCTCAAATGACTTAAATGATTATTTAAATACCTCTGCATCATGTCAGTTTACAGGCTCACTCTGCAGTGACACATACAGTACCACACCATTTCTGCTCAGGCTTCTCTTGAGCAGGTTTCTTGAAACCACAGTAATTAGTATTGTCAATGTTTCAGAGTGAAAGGTAATGAATCCAATCAAGAGCTAAAGAAAAGAAAAACAATTTAAAAAGAGCCACTGTCTTAGAAATAAAATGGCATTATTTTTTATACCAAACATGTCTTTATTACTTATTTACAAGACAATGGTTTATTCCTAAAATTAGAAACAATGGTTTAAAGTCTATCATGAAAACATTTCAAGTAATAAATCAAATCATAATCAAATAAAACTATTGCAGCCAATACCTTCACTGTGCCTGCTGCTTTTAAATGTTTAATTATTTAGTATATGTATTAATGGTTATGTATTAACAAGCAGGGTATGTAAAATAACTGAATGTAAGTGAACTGAAGTACATAAAATGCTCTCTCACGTGATTGACTCAATTGAGCAATTCTGCAATTGAGACTCAAAGATTATGCTTCAAATCCAGTTCATTCAATGAATAAGGTAGGGGTGTAATGTAGATATTCAGGCACATTAGTAACAAACATTAGAATTGTATATACAGTACACAATAAAAAAAAGATTTGGTGCATGTTTTACGTTTGTTAAATATAAAATGTATTGCACTTTTGTTATGTTTACAGTGCACTGAATGTTAAAGTAAAAACTAAATTTTTAGAATTACACTTTGAATAAAAATATTTATCTGAATAATAGATGTTCTGTATGTATTTACATTTAAAGCATTAAGAAACTATACTCTTAGCCCACTGACAAACAGTATTGGACTTCTGGCTCCTTCAGATAAAGACTCTCAGATGTATTACCAGGCCATGAGTCCCTCAGTGCTTTAACTCAACTTTACAGTAAAAACACTAAAATAGCATGGCAGAAAGTAAACCTGCTTAGACCTAGTTTTCAAAAGAGCAACTTAACAGCTGAGTTATTTTCCTTCAAAACAAAAATCTATATATTAAGGTTTTACTGATGCAAAACAGAATTAAGAGAAGCTCTACAGCAAAATATTCATATTTTATCAGACTTTAAGATGATTTGACATGGACTTTGTACACTGATTTCTACAGCAGTCTTATGTTTACAATCTGAAAACCTAAATATACACATTTTATATATTCAAGAGTATTAAGATAACTTATATACGTGACAAATTAACATTTTGGTGCCAGCCAATGTAAAGTGTGAATGAAAACAGATTAAGGTAGAGGAAGGACGTGTGTAGTATGACCCAAACAAATTAACGTTAACCTCATACCCTTAAGACAGCAGAATATCTTAAATATGTTTTAAATGTGATTAGCTACAGTATGTTAGACAATGCCCCAGCAGCACTGTGTGACATATACAGTGCATACACAGAATACACCCGATTGCTAAACAGAAGCTAGGGTGCTTTGAGTGAAGTTTAAAAAGTAAACTCGGCTTTCACTTTTGGAGTTGCATGTGGCAGCACACTATTAAATTGAAGTCACAGATAGCCTTATTTTCCTTCAGAAGTAGACACTTTTTCCACAAGACAAATTGACACTGCCAGTAATAGGACACATTAACTTGTTTCCACAAAAAAGGTTTTGTGCCAAAAGAACCAAGGGATAAATTGGCAAATCTAAATAAAACAAAAACTGTATATCTGTATTTTGTGTGGAACATTTAACTCAGGATCAAATGTTGGGATGCTTTCTCAAATAACAGTGCTTTGAGTGACATTTCCAGTACAAAATGCTTTTAAACTTTACAGTTGAAAGCTGGAAAACAAAACCCAATGTGCAATTTTTTCTAGCTAATGCAATGTGACCATTTGGAGTATGACACTGTGAAAATTGTGTTGTCTACTGAAAGTGTTTTAAACAGACTGATAAATGCACTCTAGAAGCCAGGATAGGGTCCGCTACAGTAGAACACTACAAAAGTATGCTGCCTTTGGCATCTTCAAATATTTCACTTAAGAGAAATACTAAAAACACAGCAATCTAAAAGTTGTATTACATGAAATTTACAAAAAGTAACTTAAAACTTTACTCACTACATCTATAGAACAGAATAGAATCCTAAGTGCACCATGTTTTGAAGAAAATGTAGGTCTTAATTAGAATACCTTAACTGCCAGATTACCAGTTCAAACAGGGCAACTGAAAAGTAACTCATCGCATGTAAATAGAGCTAAATAAAAAAATTAAAAGTTTAAAAAACAGTTAAGTTTAAAGAGCACATACTGTATAAGAGCAATGGGTTTCTTGATATATTTGGTGTGGCTTTGCAGTCATGTCTTTGACTCTTATATTGGTCCTGAGTTTCCTGTTATGACATTGCCTCTTTCTACCAATCTTCTGATTAAGTAGTTGAAGAATCGGAGTATGGTAAGAATTTGGCAAGCTTGTTGGGTGAACTGGGACTCATACACTCAGAGTCTTCACTCATCTTAAAGAACATCTCCTGCTCTTTTTTCTTCTGGTTTAGTTCATCCTCCAATGCCTGGAAAAAAAAAATGGGAGAAGAACTGACTAACATCGGTCATCAAGCACTGCAAACACAAATCTGTACCCTCTTTGAAACATCTTATGCACATGGCAGGCTGTTGGATTAGGTTTCTAGAAAAACAAAACCAGTTCTCCAACAAGAGATCTGGTAACGTAGATATACATTCCTCTCTGATGTGCATTCTTGACACATTCCAGAAAGATTACATCTACAGTACATGGAAGGTGCCATTCCTGTTCTACAAGTCAAAGAGTGTTCTTATGACTGGCAACGTGTGACACTGCTAAATCACTGCTGTTTATCTTGAGAAGCTTTGTGTGGGAAAACTGAACAAACTATGTGAATAACTTTTTTTTCATAAATCTTTTGTGATAGCATTATAACTTCAAATTAAGAAACTGTTTTGTATTGTTTCAGCAAACCTTTCTTCATATTTCCTAGAGAGCTCTGCTAATTTCAAAACATTAAGAACCAACTTGAATATTTCAAAATGGCAAACTTACTAATCTTAGTTTAAAGAAGATGCATAAGATAAGATCACTTTATTAGCCATATACAATTACATGCATTTGAAATTTGTGTTTTCTCATACCCCAGCTTGCTCTCCATGAGACACAGACAGGGAGAGAAGCTTGGGGTCAGAGCACAGGGTCAGCCATTGTACAGCGCCCCTGGAGCAATTGGAGTTAAGGGCCTTGCTCAGGGGCTCAACGGAGAAGGGTTCCTCTGCCGGCTGCTCAGATCCTTAGCCACAGTTCCACCGCTCCGCCCCAAGGTCAGAACATACCTTTTTTCTAGGCCTGAGCTGTTCCCTCCATTCCTTAAGTTGATGGTTGTGCTGCTCATCTAAGGCCTTAAGTCTCTGAGTCTCATTTTCAACCAAAAGATGGCATTTTTCATTCTGTAATGACAAAATGAAAAGTGTTATTTTTGCCGTTTTAACATTTATGGGTTAAGATTTTTAGCTGCATAGCTGACATTTTCTAGATTCCACTGTGGAATTTAAATTACCTTTCAAATTTGAGTAAGTCTGGAATCGTATACAAATCCCAAGCATACAGTAACTCTGAGAATTTCCATTTAAAAGATGGTGATAAGTAATTTTAGACGTAAAGCTTTAGAAAACATTATTGTATGGGCTTATGCTGGGCAGCATGGGCGGTTGTTGCTGTTTGCTGAGATCACCTGCAGTTGCTGCAGCTCCCGGATATTGCTGTCACATTGGCCCATCATCTCCCTCATCTGGTTTTCATGTTTCTGTTGCTGGTGCTGCCTCTCGGCCTTTTGCCTCTTTTCCTCCTGCTGTGCAAACTGCAGGTGCAACATCGCAATACACAATTACACATCTCATGTACATCTTCACCACATACAAGTGACAAAAGCTGCATAAAAATCTGACTCGTTTCTTGAAGATAAATCTCAATCCATACATCCATTTCATAGTATACCTTCTGGTTAGAATATAATGATTAAATATTAATAGAAAGGCTGTGGTGAGGAATACACAGTAAAACTCCACTTTTAAACTCAAAAGTACCTATCATAGCAAAGCACAAAGTTTCACAACAGTCTTGGATCTGAAACATACATACTCTGGAACTGGCTTTGTCTGGTGTGGAAAACTGCAGAACTCTTTTTGTGCAGGAAAACACAAAGGAACCAACATGAGAGTGGAGTGAGTCAGGAACAATTGCTTGATTTATGGTAAATACAAGTTCATTCCAATTAAAGCAAACCAAAAGTACCAATGTGTGAAACACTGCACTTCAAAGCCCACAAAGTACATTCCCTCTCATCCTTGAGAAGTTTTACCTGTTTGATCTTCTCACGGTCTTCTGATGCACTTCCTGAGGAGTTGATCCTCAGGCTCTTTTTGAACATCATCATACGGGTCTTCCCTTCGCTGCGCTGGATCTTGGGCAGCCTGGCTTTCTCTTGCTGCTGCTTGGCCTTCAGGTGCTCAATCATCCGCTGGTTATAATGTTGCATCTGTTCCAGCTCCTGCAACGCGCCCACACCACACCGTGTCACACACGGCACACAAACCACAGCTAACAAGACACACCCACACTAAAAGTGATCACTTAGCACATACAGTACCAGCTTAACTACCTTTCATTTAAAAAAATATTTCATATTCACAAATTCATATTTACAATCACTACAACAATTGTCTTGGTCCTCAATATTAAATTAAAAACTTGTGCACTATTTCAAATATCGGAAAAATACATTAATAACGCATAAAAAGTACCATTATCTCAATATGTATGTGAGGCAGTAAGATCATACGGTTTTCTATAATTGATCTAATGACAGGATACAGTCTTGAATACAGCAGGCAGTACCTTTTCATGCTTCTTGAGAAGCTGGTGCCGCTGCAGGAAGTATTGTTCTTTGAGCTGCTGTTTCAACAGCTGGTGTTTCTCGTGCAGGTTACGCTCCTCTAGCTCCCAGATGGTGGATTCCCTTTCTGAAGCAAGAGAAAGCAGTGAAATGTTGAAACTCAGTTCCTGGAATACATTTCAAAGGCAGTGGGGTTGCCAATATATGCCTTTCTGCTTGAACCCTGGATGGCTATCTGGCATGATGTGCAAAAAATTGAGAAATGGAGAAGGCAGCATGCATTATGGTTTTAATTCCATATATTGGGTTATTAATCTTTAAGCATGTTTGACAAAATGTATTTTAAGCAGGGAACTGATAGATATAAGGTGGTGCAATGTATTATACTCCCCTTGATAAATGCAAATACTCTACTATATTCATACCTGCCCTGCATATGGATTACAGACAAAAGCAATAGCTTAAAGCAAAATTTCTCGCCAAAAGAAAATACTTGAACACAACAACTAAAATCCTCTTATCAGAAATTCCACCTCTCATTAGATGGTGTTTTCTGTCGAGGCACTCGCGCTCCATTTCTGAAATCTCATGCTTGTTTTCAGCTATGATCCTCTTCAGAGCCGCATCAAGGTCGCTCTTCTGAGCTGCCAGAAACTTCTGTTCCTGCAAACGCACAAAAAGAGTGACCAACTAAGGCTTCTCCCCAGTGAGTTTCTAAACACAAATGACAAGTACTGAAGTGCCACTGGGGGGGAAAAAAAATCTGCTCTATGCTGACATAACATTTCCATTAGCCTTGCCGTTCTCCAAAGTTTTGATATTTCTAAGGGATTTAAAAATAATGAGTGATAAAAATCAATTGCAGTAATCTATTTCTGTGGTTCATTAAACTGATAAATTTGTTTTTGAAAATAAGATGGAATAATTAGTTGTGCTTATACGGTATTCCTGGCCAAGGCATTACTGGCTGCAATGGTGGAGTAATTTATTGATTCTTACATACAAATAATTTCATACCGAGTGCATCCTAAAGATTTATTTTCTTCCTGTATTTGGGAAGTTGATTAACCTAGTGGCACATATCTAGGCGTAAAAGCTGTACATGTTAGGGAAACATACATGCTGCTGTGTAAAGAACATTTGCAAATGACATTTAATACAAAATAGAATAAATCCTTCAACATCAATGCAAAAATGTACAGGTTTTAACCATTCACACTAAATTACAAGTTTTCTAGTCCCATGATGCACTTGAAGACCAAAGATGGCTTTACCTCAGTTTGCTTCATCTGTTGATGTTCATTCATGCGCAGTTTTAAACTTTCCTTTCTCTGACTTCTGGGAAGTTTCTCAACTTCATGTTTGACCTACAAAAAAAAAATCACAAAAGTAAATAAAACAAAGTACTGTATATTACCCCAGCAAGATAAAACTGCATGATGTCTTTCAACTATATACAGTATATACTCAACCTACCCTGAAATCTCTTCAGCATTTATCCTTCACAACCTAATTGCTAAGTCACCACTGTTCAAGACCTGTCAGGACACTTACTTCCTTCTTTTTCTGTTTGAGCTGCTCCTGAAATTTGCTATACTCGCGCTCCTGCTCTGAGCGTATCCTTTTGGTCTCATCTCGCAGGCGAAGAGCATGGTCCTGCTCCATTTTTTCAATCACTTGTTTCTGATTCTTCTCCAGATTCTCCAGCTCCGTGTCGTAATACTTCTTCTTTGCCTGAGAGAGTAAAAAGAAAACCTGTCAGCAGGTGACAAATTCCTTTCCTTTGAATAAGACATGAAGCGGAGGTCCCATCAACTATCTGTAGCATGTAGTGGGGCTACTGACTCATAACAGCAGCCACACATTACCCATGAGAGTGTAGCACTTCATTAGTGGATGAAGTAATCCCCATTTATGAATGGACTTCATCACTCGAGTCTCCTCCCCACTGATAGCTGGTGTGTGCTGGGTGTACTGGTGCACTTTGGCTGCCATCGCATCATCCAGGTGGAGCTACACATTAGTGGAGATAGAGGGGAGTCCCCATTCCCTGTAAAGCACATTCAGTGGAGTGCCCAGGAACGTGTAAGTATTATTTATTAAGAAAATTGCAATCAATTATCATCATTTCAAGCGGTATGGCTAACATGCACTTGATTCAGCTGGAGTTCTGGCAGAGAGGGATCTGCAAGGGATAACTGAATGGCGGAATGGCCCAGGCTTACATTCATCTCCTGGTCAAAGCGGCGCTGCATCTGCTCCCGCTGTGTATCCAGCTTGGCATTGAGCAGGGCCTGGGCGCGATGCTCCTCCTTCTGTAACAGTCGCAGCTCTCGCAGCTCCTGGCGCCTACATAACGGGACAGGATACGGCAAGTTCAGAACATCCGCAAAAAACAAAACTACTGTCTTCAATAGTGTGAGTCCCCAGGTCATTTTCAGACATTATATTGCTCACCTAAGATCTATAATTATATAGAGCACTATATACTCCTTTCGTGTTTGTTACTGGGTTATAACAACTGCAAAACAAAAATTGGCAGAAGATAAGAGCAGTGGCCATCCCACATTGCTGCTTGCAAAGGGCCTTGCTTACATCACTTGCAATGCTAGAAATACACCACAAGATGGAAGCACATACGAAGAGTGTATGAATGTGTTCATGTCCATTTTTTCATAGCGGTTTCTTAAGGCAATTTAAGGAACTACAAAACCAACAGCCAAATATTTACCAGACTATTTGTCTTAGTTTCACTAGGTTTTATGAAGGGCAATGAAAAGCGCAGCACATATCACACCACTTGTGCGATGAAAAAAACATGACTTAAGTAGAGATTTTGATGAATAAATGCTAAAATACAGTTCTTCCCAAATATTACATATCAAGACTATTAAAGCCTCTTTTGTCTGCTCTCAAAAGCTGAAAGCATACATAACAATAAACAAAGTACATGGGATGCCAAGTATTTTTTTATTTCCCTACATCTGTACATATGTATTTCCCTACATAGAACATGCAATATAATCTAACTGCATTGTGAAGTTTAGATTTACACTGATCCACAATGATGACTATCAGGAAAATGAGGTTTGAAAAAAAAAATCCATCTTGTAATATAGTTTAGCTTTAGCTACGGGGCACCACACATGCTAAATATAAATGCAGAGAGCTATTCCTTTTAGATGCCATAACAAAAAGACCTTGACAGCCTGGGGGAATGCAGCAGTCTTGGGAACACAGCGAAGTCTTGTGAAAGGCATGTTCCCATTGTTGTTTCAGGCAGAGGAGTTTTTACATCATGCTCAAGAGTTTTGCAGGAAATTCACTTCACTTGCCTGAGAAACCTCATCTCCTCATCTTTCTTTTCGTCATCTCCTATCATTTTGGATGTGGTCACGCTGACCTCCACACCATCCACAACAAACTTCCTGGTGCGCTTCAGCGTCTTGCTAGAAAACTTGGAGTCCTAGAATTTAAAAAGGCACGAAGTTGGTATCACTCTTATCAATCCACACAGCACAAAACATTGAATGCAGCTGGAACATGATCTAGCCAGGACCGGAGCTCAGCCTCAACGTCAGAAAGCACTAAATATCAAGACTGTGGCAGAGCTCCTTGGCGATGCATATTTTAACTTAATACAATAGCAAATATGAGTATCAAAATCTCAAAGAAGCCATTTGGAACACACAAAGTTACTGTGCAACTTAAGGCAGCTGAATAAACATCCTTAACCCACAGCACTCTCCAAAAAGGTCTCATAAGCAAAACATTTCCTTTCATACTTTCTTTCCTACCATGGAGCATGGCTATTCACTTATCTTCTACAAATTTAGGCATACAGAAATTTAAAGACCTTTTGTAAGTGAAAAAGCCTCCTATTGTCATCAACTGGCTACTGTTTCTATTTTCAAAGGGCATTTACACTACGTGATTGCACAGAAAAATTATTCTGGGTTATAAAAATATTAGAAAACTTAATGACATTCTTCTCATGGGTAGATGAGAAGGATGGAATGGAATTTTGCCACTGGCGCCTTTATTTAGTGCTCAGCATGTGCCAAGGCATTTTTATAATTGTTAATTTGCTGAATGAGCTATCCTACTAAGGTAAAGCCATTTACAGTATATTTGCATAACTCTGTGGACAATGACTACTGGACAGGACTACTGGAGGACAATGACTCAAGGGTAGCACAGCAGTTTTTCATTTGGGATTGGAGCATGTGAGGTTTTAGTTATGAATCCAGCACCCTAAACAATGTTCCACAATGCTGTATTACATAAAAAGAACCACACATTAAAGGTTCACAAATTGGTTTTAGAATGTCTAATTCAAAGAACAAGTAAAAACCTTGATTTTGAACCTACTGACTAGAAATGTCAAAAAAGAGCAAGGGGCAATTAATTTTAGGAATACACATTCACAGCATGCTATCAAAAACAGAAGAAAGTTCATATTTGGTAGTTGTTCTGGAAAAAAAAAGTATTTCAAATACTGTAATGGAATTCAGTGCAACAGTGAAAAGAATACTAATGACGACAGTCTATAAACCACTAGAACTAGCCCATCACAATGGCTGTATAGAGAGGCATAAACAATGCTGAATAGCAAATAAGACAAAGAGCCATTGGTGCAAGTGACTGGCGAATTTAAAGTAGATACAGAATGGCAATCCTAAATACAAATTGACTCCATCAGCCAAAGCATGTAAAAGCCCTATACAGTACACGTAACTGTTACTTCACTGCATACTGTGACCCAATGTGCAAGACATTATTGCTATGACCAGAGCAAAACACTAAAAACAGAAGCTTTTCATAACTGCAACAGACAGTCCATCATTGTTCAAAGCCTATAAGAAGCTTCAGCTAAGAATATTTTCCCTTCCTCTGCTTTTTCCATCTCGCTGTACAGTGGCACTCCCTGCACTCTCTTTCCTAAAGTGGGAGGGGTCATTTTAATGAGTCTTGCATTTACCTATTTTTAAATCAAAAATGCCTTTGCAGCTACATTAAGAGTTCCTACACCCAGTTCTTCCACTCCAGTTCCTTCATAAAGAATAGTAAAATGGCATACCCGCACCGATATCGACCCAGTCTCCTTGTTCAGAGAAAGCTCTCCAGACAGATTCAGGCTGAGGTCTATGCTGTCAGAAGCGGACACACTGCCCGAGTCAGAGTAGCGTTTGGAGGATCTCCCATTGGCCTCTGGCATTAAGCTGTCCAGGTTCTCGCTTTCACTCCCCGCTGTGGACCTGCGCTGAGCTGCGTTCTTTTTCGGGATTCCTTTACGTTTTAGAACCTCCGGGCTGGCGGTCGACTCCATGGGCGTGTTCTCTGCGCTGTCCTGTTGGCCCAGCTGCGGCCTGCCGCTCTCTGAAGGTGTACAGGGTTGTGGGAGGTCGGCCTCTGGCAGGGCCACTGGCTTCTCCTCCTCAGGGGTAGGGGTGCTCTTGCCATCTTCGTTCCCTGAGTCAGAGCTGCTGGTCTTTATCGACTTTTCACTCTCTGGTTTGTCGCTGTCCCCAATGCCTATACCTTCGTCAGATAATTTGTCGCTCAGCTTGTCCAACTGGTCCTTGGGCAGAATTTCTGCTGGCCCTTTCAGATCTTCGACTTTGCTCTTGGCAAGAGTCTCCACAGACTGTTCCTGATCATCACTTGTCTGGCTTGTTTCAGATGGATCTTTCCCTGGTGTCTAGGGAATAAACAACAGTTATTGAAGACTTTGCACACTGTACCAATTGGGAGCTTCTACTTTAAATATGGCTTACATCCTATTAGGTCACCCACTGGGAGTTTTAATTTTAGGAATCATTTAAGTGAGTCATCCAGCATGTACTTAATGGAAGCTCATACTCAGGCTTCCTTTTCCATTAAAGTGCACCTTGTAAGTTGAATTTCATTTAAAGCTCTTTTGCAACAGTAATTAGAAACACAGTTTAGGTAGTTAGTGGCTTATTTTTATACCGATTTAGTATTATATGACAAATAATGTTAACTTACAGATTAAGTATCTTGAAAAACAATGAAGGAGAATGTGAACAGAAAAGCTCTAAGACAAAGAAACTGTACAATTTTATATAACTCTTGCTCATACTTCAGCAAAGAGAAGATGCTAAATGAACAGTTAAAAAGGAACACACTGCAAAGACAGAGGTAGTGGGTCAGCTTAAGGTTGCATTTTTAACCCTGACCATTGGAAGAAATCCAATAATAACAGCTAAAAATTTTCCATCAGTCATTTCTAAATGAAAGCTATTCTCAGTGATAAGCAATTTTATAAGCAAAAAGGCCAAACTGTCAGAATTGTGCTTGCGTACAGTCGTGAATATGCTAGTGGACACAAAGAATTAAGAGCTAGTTAATTCACACAATCTCTTTTCTGAAAACATTTCTATACAAACTGAAATTATTTACAACTAATAGTATTGCATGCAATTGGCAGTATCTCGGACAAATTCCAAGAAAGGAAACCCTCTCAAACATTCTTGAGAATCTTTTTTTACTATGGCATTTATTTAATTAAGGAACATTCCAGACCACTGATTGGAAAAAGATACATTCCCTTTTTCATTGATATCTCTTCTCAAATCAATACCTCTAATTGCCATTGTGTGACCACTGATGAAGTGAAAGTGGTTTCAACATCAGTATTTTTCCACCAGCCATGGTACAAAAATAAAATTAGCTGAACTCAGTCTGTGTCAGCACCAGATACGACTACAGGCTGGCAGGCAGGGACCTGTCCAAATCACTCCATTTGTGTGACATCATATGTATGCAAACAGCAGGCAGAAGCAGAAGGGCATTGGACATTTTATTTTACCAGAGAGCTTGCTAGTAATTTAGAATTTCAGACATAACGGAGTTCTTGGTTCTAAGCAAATATTCTTTACTACCTACTAATTAGGTAATTTTGATAATTTTTTATAAGTCAACATACTACATACAGTACATATGCCAGTGCAGATTCAGAACATAACATCAACTTGTCATTGTCTTACTAAACAGCTATACCAAAAAAAGGCTTTGGTGGATAGATGTTCAGCTGATAATCGGAATGGTTTCCATCTAGGAAAATATCTAATGCAGTGCCTCATCTCCAACTGCATAGTAATCAGATCTGTTATACCTGAATGTCAGTCAGCAATAGGTAAAGTCTCAAGGCAGCTGTGTTTGCTCTAGCTTCTATGCTATATCAGCATCTATGCCGTGATGAATTTGTGCAGCCAGCCCCATACTGAGCTTCACTCAGCAGCACACACAATTTGCAAACAATAAAATCCCAAGAAACTGCCTGGCAGTTTAATTACCTACAAGCACAATGTGCTAACCCACCTGAGTTAATCCACACAGTCTATACCTAGAATATTTTTAATTTTATTGATGCTATTCTTAAAACTTTCTCCTTTGATAAGGCACTGTGGTTGTTTAGAACATTCTACCCGGATATATAAAGTACTGCTGATGTCAGTGACACAAGAACAATACACTGAACAACACTGCTTAAAGGGTCATCTGTTTTGGCCATACAACTAGTGAAGTACACTGGTACTCACATAGGAAGAAAAAGGGAAAAGTAAGGAAGTTGTAAAATTCATTACAAAACAAGAAAGGCACGACTACAGTCCATTTTGAAAGTCTGTGGCAATTTCAAAATTATCCATTTAGCAATTTCAAAAAAAAATATCCTGAAGACAGGATATGTAGGTGGCTGCATAAATGGTCACAAAAAGATGAGATGTTGCTGTAACCTTAAGTCAGGAACGCCTTCTAAGCAGGAAGACAGAAATTTTGTTTTGTCCAGACATTTCATATACTTGAACTTCCAGTGCCCAATACAAATTTAACCTTTTAAGTGAAGAAATAGAGGATCTTTTATTTTGTACCAACATAAAAAAAATATTGGAAAACTATTTGGCTCTGTTGAAATCGATTGGCACAAAACCTAAATTTTTGCTTGTACTTTTACATCTTGCTGCATATGGAAGTTGGAGTACGAGAGCAATTGTCTTTAGACTTGATGAAAGGGAATATTGAGCATAGCTGTTTTGTTTCGCCTGACATTCGCCATGAAGCTTGGAGTTAATCACCACTGTGAGTTTATTATCTTTGGGAAGCTTTCCTCCCACACGTTACGGCAGCAAAGGGTCAAAACATACGCTTGTGAGTTCTGAGGAGTCTTCATCTTCCTCTCTGTTGTCCTCTATTTCCTCCATGACTTCAGCTTTCGCTTCTGCAACCAGCTCCCGGAGAGGTCGGTTCGACTTCACTTTGCTCACAAAGGGGTGCTGTGAAAGGTATAAAAAAAAAGTAAAAATTTCATTTTTCCCTACCTTCAAATATTCTGTACAATATATATTTCAGAAAGCATCTGTTTCAACTGTGAAAACATCATAATGGCAAAATATATTATCTAAACCATGATTTTGCACACAATTTCAAAAATTGGTGAAACATGGCAAATAAAATATTTAGAACTTTGACAGTTTTTTCCTATACGGATATATAAGCATATAATGTAAGCGCTCTTTTTTCTGTGTATGTGAGGATGCTATACAATAACATTGTATCGACATTAAAATTATGCCTTTACATAGAATTTTTTTACATTTGTAAATGTATTTAGCGTACACAAAGTACCGCTTATTAAGGTAAACATCAGCAAACAGCAGTTATTAGGGTATTTAAGAATAAGATTATATAGCAACATCTGAATAACTGTCTTGGTTAATTTCTCTATCCTAGCATGAGTAACACTTGAAAATTCCAAATCTAAAGTCAAATGAAAATGACAACTGTAGGTTTGCTCAAATGAAGATTGTTAAAGATTCATATTGTAACTAAAAAAGTTAACACTTTCATGGAAATCAGTGCCAACAATGAATGTACAGTTTTTCATTTTTGACCTATACTTATCAAATATAACTTTTTAAATCTAATGAACCAAAATTTTGGGAGACTCAGCTAATTTTAGACAGGGGGTGTCAATACTTATGCAGGCAGTTATGGCACCCACATGTGAGATTAATACATCTGAGATTTTTTCCACCAGTTTCTGTGACATATCACTGCTTAAAACACATTTATGGATAAATTGATTCATTTTATTAAATATTAAGCTATATTAATAAATACCTGGGAAGATTGCCAACACTATTAATATCCAAAGAAAATAAACAGAGCTGATTGTGTTCTTGGGTTCCACTGTGAACATTTTTTAAAATGTATAATTATACATTTAACATTTATTAACAAACTTTAAGGGCTGGTGAGATTAAACTGAAACTAATTTTTAAACGCACTTCTTTTGACAGTTTACCTAAAGTAGTTTACTTTCAACCACATTTTTCCCTTCCCCCAGCACAAAACCATAGCTGCTGTGCAGAGCATTACCCAGATCATCAGGCCACCATCCCTTAAAGACCTAACGTAGATATTAACTGAAACCTTGATGTCTGATGCAGTTAACAGGTCATATCAAAGGCTACTCTTAAAATCCTTCCAATTCCAAATTTCTTTTGAGCCTGTGCTGCTATATTACAGCTGCCTTCAGGAAATCCTGCTGGAATCAGCACAGTGCCCACAGTTTTTCCCATGCATGCTGCCTGCAGTACTTCAATGTATTTACTATCACTACAGCCAATTAAACATGTTGGATCTCATCCAAATGCTGTAAAATAAAGCACCATGTCAGCACACTCTGAACCTTTCATGTAGCAGTTATAGCCCATGGAGCCCAAAACAGGAAGACGCACACATTCTGAAACCTGCACAAGCGTGGAACATCAATATATACACTGCAAATATCGAAACAAAAACTATAAACTTATCTTTAACAAATAATGGCACTAATCTGACAAAATAATGCATAATACATTAGCACTATGCAGAAACAATTAACCTAGAAAAGTGAAAAGGTCCAACTCAAGCCAAACACTAGTTCAATGAGTATCTGCTCTGTATCTGTAAAATCTTAGATGCTCTACAAATGATAATAAACAGATATTCTTAAATTCACCGCTGCAATACTGTCACCTGTCATCTACCTGGAACATACAACGTGATACTGAGCCAATAATGGTTGTTTAAACAGCTGCTGCATAATGGATGTTTTAACAAAATTATTTATAAATGTATAGATTACATAAACTGATGTGCAGAAATACAAAATTTACCTCCAGGAGCTGTACTGCAGTTGGACGAGTTTCAGGGTTCTTATCCAATGACTTCTTCAGAAAATCCTTGAACTCTGCTGACCTTTGATATACAGTAGAATAACAGAATTCTCATCAGGGTATAGAACAGTGTACCACCTGGTCTTGTTAAAGGCACAGTAAGGATGATATTTTAAAATAAAAAATAGATACCTATAAAACAGCTACAGTAAGTCTCCTGACAAGAACATAACTAGCCATAGATACATTGTATTTTATTAAAAAAATAAAAAAATTAAACCATTTCTCCAGGCACCTGTAGCTCAAATATATTTATGCCAGACTGAAGTTGTTGTATAGTGATTTAACTGTAGATGAGGTAATCAATGAAATCTTTCAACTAAACAAATTAGAATGACCACAGTTGTTTGGTACTGTATAAAGGATGCGTCTTCTAAACGTATCATTGCTAGTCTTCCATTGCCAACACCGTCTCCTGGCAGAAGGACTGCTGTCTGCTTTTCACTAGCTTGCCTGGCGATTTGCACTGAATTTGCAGGACTCACCACTTGGCTGGCTGCTCTAAAGTGGGAGGATCAGACTTTGCAATTTTCAGAAGGACCCTCATGGGGTTCAGCTCATGGTGAGGAGGTTCAATCTGCGCCACCTCAATCAGCGTGATTCCAAGGGACCAGATGTCAGCCTTGTAATCATAAGGGGCATCCTTCATGGTCTCACACATCACCACCTCTGGTGCCATCCTTCAGAGACAAAAAAAAAGTCATTGAAAAAATTTAAATTTGCTGTAACCACAAAATTCTGGGATAAACTAACAAGTCATAACTTGACAATTTTTTTGACAAACCAAACCACTTCTTGTTTGCAGTCAGAATTTACAACAAGGAGTCTTCACTTTGCCTTCCAGTGACCTTCAGAGGTGACAGATGACATTCAGAAACAACTTTCTGCAAAATCTGCATTTAGACAATGCTAGCGTGCAAGGCACTTAGAACTGTGACTCTGGTTTAGCTCGTTATTGCATTACCCCGAAGCAAACAGTTATAAAAAAATGGAATAAAAGTGGAAAGATAGATATTGCACTACAGGCATGTACAATGTTATGAGCCCTATGAAACAATAAGAAAGCAGTTCAACAAGTCAAAGCTAAGGAATATTAAGATGGGCAACACTGAAATGCATAGCTGACCAGATTCAGAGGAGGGGTAGCAGTGCACGTTGTCTTTTCTGTCAGATATAGAGAAAAGCTCTGGCCAGAGTTACAGTAGCTTCTACAAGCAAGCTGGCCAATGACTTTTACGCTTTTAGTAAAACTCCAGCTCCTGTGAATTCGCAGTTACCTACAATACATGCCTGCAGTGACATTGAGAGATATGAACAGTGCAGGTGAAGGGTTCTGATAGGTGGGTGTGTGCGATGAGCAGTTTAGGAGGAGTCAGCAGCTGCAGCCACGTCTTAAACATCCCAAATGACATGGGCAATATTGAAAAAATTGATTTCACACCATTGCATTCAAATCTCAGACTACACATATGGAAAGAATAAAGCATTATAAGTAAGAAGGGGGAATTTTCCATTTTCACCCCTTTTAAAAAAAGGGGAAACAAAACAAAACCAATTTCCATTACATAATCTGACAAAATTTGTAGTCTGAGCTTTCAATTACCAGTCAGTCAATGTCAACTCTAGAGTACTATCTTTTTTGGACCACTAGTTAAGCAAAATGATACCTTTTCCCACTCATCAGGAGACAAATGTTTTATTTTGAGAAAAACCAATGGTAATTCTTGCACTCCCAGTCTCAACAGATTTGCTGTAATGGGATGCTGTAGAACAGGATGTGGGTATTACTAAACAGCTAAGAGACATTTTATGTGGTATTTAGAACAGCCTTAGCTGCCTCTGGTTGATGATTAATCTGCCTTTCAGAAGTTCATTTCTAAGTAATGCATTTAGTACTATCAGTGCTCTTCTCCTCAGGAAGAAGGAGTAAGAATTTAAGATGTCCACATGAACGATTTAGGCTTGTTATAATACAATACAATATGAATGAAGGATCCAGGAAAAGAAAAATCACAATCAATATTCTTGCAAGAACTTCAACAATACAATTCTGAATGTAAAATCTAGAGGAAATTTAGACCTCAGAGTGAAGCCTTTCCAAACTGTACTTCACCCAGTATTTCAAGGTTTCATACTGTATATGACATTTTACTAACCAGTAGGGTGTCCCGATAAACGAATCTCTTCTTTGAAGGGTTTTGGTGTTTTTTGCTGACACACCAAAGTCCGCTGCAGTGATAAGAACACATCAAAAAAGTTAATTTATAACCTGTTATGCTTCATACAAGGGATATTATCCCAACTTAAGTCTTAACCTTATGCACAGTGTGCTGCATATTCAAGGATACACCCTGATGATACTGTAAACAGTAAAGGATAGCTGCAATTACATTTTACCTTACATAGAGTAGATTTATTTTGTCATTTACAATATTCATTTTACAACTGTTCTTATAAACAATCTAATCATTTCTTCAAAGAAATCAAATATATAATTGTACTCTGTACAGTATATCAAAATTAAACATGACAGCCTAAGAAGTATAAAGGCATGCTAATTTAAGTACAATAAAAATACTGTAATTATACAGTAGTGAAAATGCATTTTCTTAGTGACACTTGTCTCATCAGTATCTTCTTAACCAAGTTAATGTCAGGGTTTGTGGTCAAAAGGTGTAATGTCTCCAAGTGAAGGTGCATTTTTCACAGACACACAAACCCCAAATAAAAAAGGCTATCTTTAATTCAACCTGGTATTCCAAAACCAGCAAAAGGTTGATCAGGAATGGCACAACTGGTAATGCAAAAACTAAATCCCCAGACAATGTTGGAGAAGGCAAAATAAAACGTCTCTTTAGATCTTTTTTGCAACAAGCATTTATTCTGTAATCTATTCAGAAAATACATTTGACTTTTTTGTTCAGTTTTATGGTAAGTTAGCAATGGTTTAACAATAGAGGTGTGCAATGAGGCAAGAAACAAACTATGCTCATATGATGGAATAGAACACAATAGAGTCGTAGTACAGCGACATTATAACAGATATGCAGAGCATAAGAATGAATGCATTTATATACAGGTTTTATAAAGGTCCATGGAATATCAAATGCACATATGCAAAAACAATCCCCCAAGTTACCAAGTTATAATAAACCAATTTAGTCTATGAAGTATCTTACATCATATCTTTTCTATGATGTAAAGAAAATGACTAAATGCACTCCACACTACTACTCATAACAACATTTTGAAAAGCTATTAAATGAGAATAAATGTCTGATTAAGTGCTGTATTTTGAAAGGGTTAAGAGAAATGTTCAATTTCATGTGTTCTGGATAGACCAAGGATATATAGTGTGAATATAAAAGACAAATGACTTCAGTTTTTGTACACAGTTGTCAGAATAAGTATTCTTCAAAAATGTTTAAAAGAGTATCTATAATAACAATTTGATTATTTTTACCAGTTAACAGAATTTGATCATAAAAATACAAAATATTGTACCGCATATATACAGTATCACAGTGGTATGTAGTAAATCAAGAGAGATTTACATTTTAAGAAAACTCAATTTAACGAAGTTGCACTCACCAAGTTTGATGTCCCCTTCCAGTGTGAGTAAAATGTTCCCAGCTTTCAGGTCCCTGTGGATTATCTTCATGCTGTGCAGGTAGTCCAGGGCTTCCAACATCTGACGACAGATGACCTGTATCTGTGGTTCTGTCAAGCCTCTGTCCAGTTCTGCGGGACAAAAGAGTTCAAATAAACATATGCAAACCAGAAGAACCAGAAACGTCAGATTACATTCCTGATTCAATAAGATAGTTTAATAATATTCTTGTGAACAAAAAGGGCTGAATGGCCACCTTTTTTCTCTACCAATAATTTTAATGTCAGAAAAAGAACACCAGCTGATTGAAAATTAAAAACATTACGACAATTTTTTTTATATTTATATTCGGTTACCCCTAAGTACAATTACAAAATAAATTATCTTTCCACCACTGTATGTCAAAGTGATGGTACAGTTCATGTTAATGTGGCACAAACGCTCTAAACTATGGAACAGTTACAGAAACTGACAGATTGACAAACACTTTTGAAAATAATGCACTGAATAAGTGCTTTTTCAATCAATGGATGTGAAACATCTAAATATAAAACATTAATGTGGTTTTCAGGTACAATAGTACTTAAATTTAGTATCATTTTAGTGTTTTAGCAGATTGAATCTTTGGCTTTGGACTTCCAAAATGTAGGTACCGACATGGGCATGGGCAGAAAATGCAAATAAAAAACGTCATATTATTGAAAAGAAAATCTTATCATTGAACATAAAACTAATCCAGGAGGCATATTTGGAATATAATTCACATGTGAAGAAACAGCCCTTAACAAAACTGTGGGAATTATCTTAATATAGCTATCTTGGAGTCCCTAGGCAATTGTCTCCAACAAAAGCAGATACATTACACATTACATCATTTGGAACTAAAAATGATCTCTTCAGAAATGGCATTGCTATGTAATTATCGATAACGCCTACAGGACAGTAAATGTCATAATATCAAAAAAGGAGAAACTTTCATATCCAAAACATCCAAAGACATAAGGAAATAAACTACAACTGACAATAACAGGCAAAAGGCAAGAAAATGCTATAACATGTAAGGGAAGTCCAACTTGTTCTCCTTACCTAGCATGGTGGCATCTACTGCTCCTCCAGGGCAGAATTCAATCATGATCTACAGAAAAACAAAAACAGGACTTGAGTAGCTGAAATTTTGTTTGCAGCCTCACAAGAACATGAAGTACACTGAAAAATGTACACAAAGTAAATTTTATGATTTCACTAGAAGTTGGAACGCAGTATTTGACAACCTAAAAAAGCAATTATTCATTTGCTACAACTTTTAGAACTCATTTTGGATCCTGCTGTACATGTATATCAAGTTAACTGTGAAACAACTTGTCCATCCACATTGTTGAAGCTGATACCACAGACTCGTAAAATAAATTCAAGAGATCCTCAGATCAATGAGCAAATGCACACTTCAAATCATGGTACATACCATGGTACGCATGTCAGCTATATATACAAAACAAGATAATTTGGGATGTTAAGTTAAGCAACCCAGGATTAAAGTTTGTGCCGTAACTTTTCTTCAGTAAGAAAGAATATGAAAACTCAGGAGAAAAGTTTAAACATCTGTGGGAATTGAGCTCACGAGAGCAGCATTCACAATAAGCAGACGTTACCTTTAACTGCCAAGGAGAATCTTACTTGAATTTGACACTGTTAAACCTCAAAGAAAAAAAAAATCATAAAATAATTCCAGTTAAACTACCTTGTCAGGATCTCAAAGGCTAGTATTGAACCCGACATCCCAGAATTAAAATCAAGTTCTCGTTGCTTTCGATATTGTACACAGTTGTTCAAACTTGAAAAGCCTCCCTGTGGTGCAAAATACAAAAAGACTCCATTCTGGAATTCTAAGAGGTATACAGAGGAGAACCAAAGGACTTGGCACTGATTTATTTGAGAACGCCAAAGACCCGTTTAAAAGGAGCCCTTAAAAACGTCAATTCCAGCTACTGCAGAAAACTAAGTAGTCCCCTTAGTCCAAGTGTTGTAAGAAAAGAATCTTGTTCTATTCTTTAGCTACATAAATTTATAGAAATGAAATACTGTAAAGGTCTGTACATTTAAGCAACCATCAACATAATAGAACCTAACAGAATAAAATTAAATGTGCTCTATGTGATAAAGTAATGTCAGGCAACATTTCATACCCTGCCAAAATCTATAAACAAAACATCTCAGTGAAGATGAAAACTGATATGTATGAAAACTTTACACCAAAAGAATCCCAATCTCAACTTCCTGTTCATTAAGACCCTGGCATGTCACCAGAAATTCTTTACGTTTTCTAACTTCTCAAACCCTAGAAAACCTGAAACTTGGAGCTTCAGTTACACCATAAAAGGCTAGAACATTATTATTACTGGAGGCCAAATGCAACAAGGAAAAGCAATGCATTATTAAAGGGGAACAAACTCAAAGTTTTTGCAAGACCCTGAAAAGATCAACATGTCAATTTCACCCCCCCAAACACAACCTTGGGAAAGCAGTTTTAAAAAAGACTCCGGGACCAGAAACGTGCAGGTTTATGCAGTTTTGAAGAGCTCGAGTCTCAAAAAGTAGCACAAACTGTAAAAGTGCTAGCTCTAAACACAGGCTACACTCTACTGTCCAGACATCATGAGTTTGAGCTTGGGTCATATCACTAGCCAACTGTAACCAGGATTCTCCAAGTCAGAATACTACTAGTTTGCAGGTTTGGAATTGCATGGCCAAAGTGTAACTGGGTTTCAGTGGTGGAGCTACAGACTCCATTGACAGTTCTAGTAGGGTTCTTGAACCTCCTAGTTATTTTGTTCTGTTACATGTGGTCAAACGCCATCAGAATAGTAATTAATACCCTGCAAAGACCTGCCACATGGTAGTAACCTTTTAGTAATCTTCTGTTGACGATAATCTAGTTCCAACAGAACCACACTTCTCATTGTGACAACATAAATCCCTTCAATACATACTGTACTGTTGCAAGATCACCTATACTATTAAGTCAATATAATCAACGATAAGGTGTTCACTGATGAAGCTAAGCAAACAAAAATCCAAGTTAACCACAGGCATTTAAACCTGACTACATAATGTGGGCCGTTATCTACAATAGTTTTGATAGTGCTATCCTCCTCCTCCCACTCCAAGAAATAAAACAAGAAGAGGGGAATCCCAGTATGTAAACAAACTGATGCAAATTTGCATGCACGTAACACAATGTTGTTCAGAGTGATAGCAGCATAATTTGCAAAGCAGAAGCCAACTTCCTTTCTGTGGAACCTTGTTGTATCATTTCCTAAATGTTTAGGCTGCGAGCCATTTGTCTCCACAAGAGAACTTAAACCCTGTTTCTGTTATGTTGGTAAGAAATATTTAAATGACTGTCCATCGTGTAGCAGGGTAAACATTGAAGAATTGTCTTCAGAATACACCCAATGAAAAAGTTCACTTATAATCCCTTTACACTTTTATTCCATAATGAAGGTGCTAGCATTATATCTGTCCTCAAAACTTTGGTCTGTTGTCAAGACCTTTCTGGAGAAAGTGTGGTACAGATTTCATCAACATAGGGGCTTAAACATGATATTTTGTCCTTAACTTCAAGTGCAGAAAAGGCTAAGGGAGAAAAAAAATCTAAAACTTTATACAGTAAATCATAACTTTGCACACAAGGAAATGCACAAATCACTTGCTCCCACACAGCAGTTACTGATGAGGTCACAAGATGTTAGTGCCCACAGAAGGCACTTGTTTAGGGCCCTGCGTAGCTAATGGGTGGTCCTTTTTGCTAATTAGTATTTTAAAAAGACCCTGTTTTAGTATTTTACTGAATCAAAGTCATTAAACATTTTGAAAAGAGTCCAGTACAGAAAGGATGTTTAAATTCAGCTGAGACAAAATATTTACTCTGCTTGTGGTGGTTGGGGATGGGTTAGATCACAGAACATACAGGAGTCAGACAAAGGGCTTGCAGAAATGGTCTTTAACGAATTAGATGTAATATGGCTAGGTCATAGGGTTTTATTTGTTCCTACTCACCTTTGTAATGTAACCAAGCTCCAAATTTCAAGCATGAACCTTTAAACTGTGCTGTGTGTCTAGAGACACACACATCGTATACCCTGGATGTTTTATAATGTTTAGTTTGATTTTATCACCGACAAGTTCTAAACTTAAAATAAATTAAGCTGTTTCAGCACATTTTAAGTATATAACATGCAACGCACTATAAAACAAAGGTTCTCAGTACAACTCATAAGTGCATTTATAACATGCAAACAGTAGCAATAAGTATCCTGCATACTATGCATAGATTGATGGGGGGTTGGGTTCTTTGCTCCTGTCTTCGTTGCATTAGTTTTGATTTTAAATAATAATCAGTTAAAACAAACATTGTGAAATGAGTAACTGCAAGCCTGAGGAGAGACCATGTGAATATAATTTATTCTTGTACAGTACTACTAAATAAAATACAAACTTTGAAAATCTTCTCTACTGTCCCATTTGTCATAATTGACAAGTTTAAACGGAAAAGAATCTTGCTGTTATATTTGGTTCACAAATCAATTGTTTTGACTGGCAGTCATAAGCAATAATCACTATTTAAAAAGACAAATACAACAATGTGATCAAGAACTGTACAAAAGTGCCAGAACAATTTAATGAAGGCAAGGTAATGGTAGTGCTTTTGTTAATGCTCACTGTTCATTTCATTTAACAAGTCCGCCTGTGGTATGTCCACAGGTTGCTGGACAGGCATTTAGAACACATGATTGTATACACTTTAAAAACATTCTTTAAACATTACAGACGTGCTAGCCATTCAATACTTCTACAGGTCTCACTTCCATTAAAAAAATGCAGTGTGGCAAGTAAAACAAGATGCTTCAACTCAGCAGGCTTCATCACTGAGGTACACATGCAGATAAAATACTTCCCCTCCCTGTGCTTAAAGACGTGAAAGAACAACAGATGCCAATTTTTACTAGGAAGTACAAGTCACTTTCGACGGCCTAAAATTATTGAGCTATTTAAGAAAACTAAAAAAATTTCTCCTGCTTTCCACACCAGAGACGAACATGCAAACTCCACATAAACACTGCCTAAGGCCAGTATGTAATTCAGGATAAAACTGTCCAATGTGAAAACTAGACAAACTGGTCATTAAGAACTTGGTATACAGTATATTGGGTTTTCATTTTAATTCGATCAGATGAATCACTGAATAAAGATGTTTCTTTCCGAAATTCTGTATTTTGCATGAGATATACTTCATCTTCACGGTTTGGTTAAAAAAAAGTAAGATCCTAAGGTTTCATTAACACATCTACAGCATAGTAGCACAGTGGTATTAATCTTAAGCAACAGACATCTTTAACACAAATTCTGTAAATGGATTAGTAAGGGCATATTCTGAGTTTATCACTGAAAATGTTAAACTAGAAGAATCATGGTTATTTATTAGTAATTATTTTTAGAGGAAGAATGAAACAATGACAATCAATTGCAAAAAGGCAGAGAGGAGTTAAATAAGTAGACAATTTCATAATTTCAAGGCCATTGAGAAAAGTTTAATATCCTACAATAAAGCTGTCGCCCAAACCATCCCCAAGTTAAACAATAGAATTAATCATCTATGTTGGAAACAAAGAGCTCGAATATGCAAGATTGAAAAGGTATGAAAAGTAATTCATCATACTTTCAATACACCATATGTTCTAACTGCCATTCTAACCAACCTTTTGTTGAAGACAAAAAGGTATATTAATTATAGATTAACTTATTTAAATATTTTACATTTTTCACACTTCACTGACAGAGGGTTATGCAGTTAACATCCAAGATGTTAAGAAACCAACATGGGTAAATAAAAACCGATCCCTTATTAATTGAGTAAAACCGTTCGTAAGAGAAGGATATTACCGGCATAAATCAAGGAAAAAACATTAACTTGTGAAATCCTTCATTTCTGTTGCAATCTGTGAAAAACAGTATGTGGTCACTTGGTATATTTTGTCATCCTTTGTGCACCATGTTGTGCAAGGTTTGTGTACATCAGATCAGAAACAACAAGAGGAAAGCAGAAGAATGAAAGCAACCTTGTTATATACCATACATTATACAGTACAGTAGTTTCTTCTGTATATGCCCAGTAACCAGCCACTCATTAAAACAGACTACATACTACTACTAGGTGCCAATGGGAAAAGAGGCATCTAGTGCTTGTCATACTAGAAAATACCCGTCACCAATACTTAGTAGTGATAATTTTAAAAATGTATGGCAGAATGGGGCCTCCTAAAACTTTTTTTTTTACCCAAGACAGATGTATACATGGGTCATCAATAGCAACATTTCAGATACGCCTTCAAACTATACTATTAGTAAAGGAGAACTGGATTTCTTCATATTTGTTTACACGTCACTATTTCCCAAGCTGTTCTTTTAAATTTAAATTTGTGCCTGCCATTAATTCGATGAATGTTCAACCATTCCCTAAAATGGAAATGAAAGGTTTTTCCTAAAAAAAAAAATCCATCATTATTTTACATCAAAACCAACTTCTATGATTGTTTCTGGTACTTTGCTAAAATATTGCGTCATTTCTTATATATTAATGAATGGGGACACCAGCGACTTCCACTTTTCATCATGAAAAAGATCAAAAATGAAATTGCGTTAAAATGATCAAAACCTTGCAAACCTTGTAAAAAGTAATAATCCACGCACTATTCCACATTGCCTAACAAAATTTTTGCACATTCCCCAAAGAGCAACTCCTACCTTTATCAAGGTTATGTTCTCAAACATTTTGATTATATACAGATATATTCATATCTACAAATTTACAATGACAAACAAAAACTCACATTTAAAATATTTTATATTGCAATTTGAACAATCCATTCCATATCAAAAGGAGAAATTTAGGGTTTGTAAGCTTTGGGGAATTTTTCTGCAAATTAAAATAAAGCATTGATGTATGGCATCCCATTTTTTGGAAGCTGATAAACCTACTGACTGAACTGATTTTGACGTCAGCTTCATGACTGGAATGCTAATAAAAACAGTGCATCTTAGGACCCAGTGAGGTTATTCTACACTGCTTCTGTGAGGCTAAAAAAAAAAAATCGAAGTACTCTGGAAATTGCTCATTTAGAATTTCTTCAAAACAAATGCCTAAGGATGAAAGGTGGGCATACTGTAGTATAATTCAAAATTTATACATGTCAAACGAACACAGTGTACAATGCACAAAGGTCAAACATCAAGAAAAGTTGTTATTTTAGCAACAAGTATTACAGTATTAGTTCATTCACTGGTATGAAAAAAATAATTTAGGCAATGTCAACATCATAAAGCAGCAACACCAAGGAGCGTTTTGAAGCCTGATGTTAAGCTTTGATTCTGTTCATCGGAATATTGGTTTCATGGAAGAACAAAAGATCTCTTCATTGCATGTGTGGGTTTAAGAATGCACCACCACTGCTGATTTTTGTAAGAGAATTTTGGTGAAATGCAGTTCTCCGTTTCCTGTGTTCATGAAATATCAACACAAACCCTGGTAAAACATTCAGTGTAATGTGGAAAAACTCAATTCAATTTCTATGGATAGACCATAATTGCGCTGACATATAGACAAACTCCACTTATTAGGTTATAATAACTCCCCATCAACACCTGCTAAATTAAGGCTCATGATACTGTACAGTACACTATCAGATAAATGTAGCAGGAATACAATTAACCATTCACAGTAGCAGAAAAAGCAAAGGGTGGCAGTGTATTAAAGATAACATGCAGGAAAGGTGCAAAATGGTTCTTACAGTTAAACAAAACATCTTCTAATCCAATCAAATTTCACAATGTTTTGGAGATGCAATACATTTTCAACAGCCATAGTCTTTCTTTCTCTATATGTAAAACACGTAGGCGTCTATTTTTCTCCAAACAAAAGATTCCTAAACCTTTTCATAAAAGATTTCATCCAAAGCCTTGCCAGCTGAAGGCCCCCAAAATGCTGTCTTCACCTCTTAAACACAAATCTGGCTTTTCAGGAATAAATTTAAAATCTGCAGGTTTATTTATACCAGTTGCAAATTATCCAAGGAAAACATTACTAAAAGCTGCTTTTTTGTACAGTTTCTGGAATGAGCAAATTTACCTTTCACACTCTGCAATTTAAGAAATTCTTGGCGAAGCCTTTAAAGACTCTCTGTATTAGTGCTACCAGTAGAATCTAATTAAACAGTTGCATATACTTGTTAGTTGCTCAGTTTAGAAACTTAACATGAAGTCCAAAAATAAAACTACAGTGAGGCCTTTCATTACATTTTTCCAGCTAGAGTAGAGACTGAAAAGAGTAAGTTTTTCACAGCTAAGCTGGTTTTCTGGCACACAGTAAATATTAAACAACATTTCATAGTTTGAACACATGTACCGTACATGAAGGTCAAGTGAAAAAAATGCAAAGAATTTGTTTCGCGCTTTACACCAAACTTTCACCTGTATTTGAGATCTGTTTCAGACTCACACAGACTACACATTTTCTGAAGCGTATATTGCTTACAGTGGTGCAATTAACTTGCATTAAGAGACAGCCAAAATTGACCTTTTCTGTTAACAAATACAGTATCAATCTTAATGTTAGTCTTTTTTTATTTACCGTTTTGGATATTTTTCAGGGCCACACTGAGCATGAAAAGATTACTTGTGTAAATATTGCTACAAATGTTAAAACACTCAAGAGAAAATGTGACTGGCTCTTAAAATGTACAATAGGTTTATTCCATGCTAACAAGAGAAGAAAGAAAAAGTTCCAGTTATGGAGCCTTCTTCAGGTGTGAGAAAGACAGGGCAGTAAGCAAAGGAACACACCTTTCCCCTTCTCTCAATGACAGACTCATTTTCTTCTAAATTCTCTCTATTCATTTAATAAATCATCATCATCAATAAAGGGATTTTTGTGCAACCCGTGCAAACTGTGTGCATGTTTCTCTTTTCCACAGGAGGATTACCATCAGTAACATAAAGCATTTATATTATTTGGAGCTGAGGGAAAATCTTAAGTAGATTTGACTTAAGTAATTTGACTTCATCTTGTTGAACTCTGACACATTAAAAAAATGGTTCATATTAATTGATTAACAACGATTTGACATGGAGTTCATTTGTACCACAAGCTACATGTATATGGCCAATAAAGTGATCTTATCTAATATAGCATAGTACAGTATATGTTCTGCTGCTTTTGTGGTAATCTCCAACTTACATCAAAGGTTCTTTGGCTTTCAACTGAATGTCTACAATAACTCCAGACATTGCTTATAAGATCAAGATGATGGGCAAATATTTATGTTTACTGGCTTTTGAGCCATTTCATTACACCATAAGTCCATTGCATTGTTTTTACTAAATATTCATAACCACAAGATCAAATTCCCCATCACATTTAGCCCTTTTCCTATGTTTTTAGCTTAAAATTATCTTACAATGTCCTAAACAGAGCCTAAAAGACTGAACAACATACTGTACTGAATCATAGCCCACAAGAAACTGACGAGGACCCTGCTGCAAACTAGCAAAGTCTGTAGTATAATCTTATGGTTGATTTCACATGTGCCATAACAGATCAAGAGAGCAGTCTTACCCACAGCTTGTTCTCAAAGTAAAAGGCGTCAAGCAGCTTGACAATGTAATGATGATCACAGGAAGCCAAAATATCAATTTCCACCATGTAGTCTTCCAGCTCTTCTTCACTCTTTGTCTCAATCACCTTTGCAGCAGCTAGTACACCATTGTCTTTGTTTCTTGCCTGCAAAATATGAAAAATATTTATCAATACATTATGAACTAACACAAAATAATACATTTTTAAAGTAACTTCTAATATGTTCATTAGAACACATCTATTTTGTGTAAATCATCAAATTTTCTGAAATATATATTTAAACATGTACTGTACCCCATACTTTAGAAAAGTCACAATTTAAGCAATTATACTTCAGAATCTGTGACAACATCCAGATGTAACATAGCAGAACAAGTGCTAATGCTTGTATTGTTTTTACAGTGGTTGATAATTACAGCTTTGTCACAAAAGTAACATAGTAAGTAATTTATATGTCCACCTAGACCTGGCAGTTAAGTCCAAATTTGAGAATTGCACATACTCAAATTGTAATGTAATGCGCATGTTCTTTTCCACTGTGGTGTTATCGCACTTTTTTCTTACATTGCTGTGAAAAACCAGTGTGTATTTTAGACCCTTTCAGAGGTTCACACAAACGGCACATACACAGTATAAACAGCAAGACTGTCAATGAGAATCCCTTCTGAAATCCCTAATATACTGTGGTCTTTCACCTAACCTGAGTGCCTCAGAATTTTAACATGGCTACACACCAAAGAGGTTAATAATCATACTTCAACCTGCACCGACCAAAGCCCTATATAACACAAAGGTCATAAGATGACAGAGATAACATGCTGCAAGATGGAAAAATAAAAACCAATTGCAGGGAATTGTACAGAGTGAGTGTCTAGTGTTCGACTCTTTCACTTAGTTACAAAAAGTTTATTCATTACTGATGTTGTTTCATCGCACACCTTAGTAGACTACATCATTCAGATCATGTCCGCCTGAAACATGCCACAGTTCTATAGGTGGGGCTGGGGTTTGTGGTTAGTTTACGAGGAAATTACAGTTTTCACAGCCACCCAGTTACAATATCTCTTCTGTTTTTAAAGTTAAATACAGAAAAAAATTGAGTCAAAAATATTTTTTTTTAAATTAAAACCTAACTTTACTAAACTAAGGTCACAGTCATGTAAGTTAGCTTTGATACAACAAGGAACATACTAACTACATCTAAATTAAAGAGGTACAAAAGTTAAGAAACTCAACTGTATTTTAGGTTTCTGTCAGGTTTTCAGGTTACATTTTCCTCATACAAAGATAAACACAATAAAACCAAGTAAACACATAGCTGTAAAACCAGAATGCATGAGGTGCAAAATAACAAGCAGTCAGCTTCCTGCTGGGCTACATTTAGAAAATATCACAAAAAGGAAACTCCACACCCAGTCAGGAACCTTCAACAAGTCCCCCAGACAAACATCTTTATATGACCTAAGATTACCAGAAAAAGACAAAACTCTCAAAACCAGAGCTGTCTATGTACAAAAAAGCAAATGAGTTTTAAGACAGGATAGAATGGAATATCATACACTACCCAACATAGTTTTGCACGATTCTGACAAACAGAAGTCACTGAAGAAGACAGATTCGCCCTTCTAAGTTTTACAGGTAAGAAATGTTTCAGGAATGCGTGGTCTAGGCCACAATGAACCACCAATCTCCTACAAAAAATTAAATAATGGCGTGCAGTATGTTATTGTCCAGTGCATAAACAGTGGTCAAATAGTGCAAACATTTCTGCACTATTTCACTCCAATCCCCTGTCATCTGAGTCTTGGAATGAGCGCTTAGTGTGCGTAAGACTTCCTGAATATTTTGAATATTACACTAAATGTAATAGCAAATGATTGGAAGAGAAGTATAATGTATAATTCCTAGGGAGGAAAGGTGACTCAGATTGAGTTATTTTGATAAACGAATCAATGCCGACACCCACTTTTACAGTAAATGAGAATCAGTCCACACACCCACAGTCATGGAGAAAACCTGCTGTAGTATAGTACCCTCCTTAACATAAGAGCACAAACACATCCAGAATGGAAGCCATTGCTCCCATTTTCTTCATTTCATTTAGCAGCCAATTGAGCTTAAAACTGTCTAGTGGCTTCTTAAAACTGAGACTGGGCTTCAATCACCTGTCTGGGAAGCCTACTCTAGATGCCCACAACAATTTCTGTAAGCATTTCCTGTTCTCCATCATAAACAGATTCCTTTTTAGTTTTGAGTTGTGACCCTGTGCCCTTATTTCACCCTTGATTAACTGCATGTAGAACTCTTAGGATTTTATACACTAAATATAATCAAAGAGGCCTATTTTTATCTTTTTTGTTCTAGACTGAAGAGCCATACATTAGTGCCTTTAACCTTTCTGTATGCGACAATGTCTTGAGAACAGGAATTATTCTTGACACTATTGTTTGAACTCTTAAGGGTTTATCAACCTTTTGGTGGCATGGTAACCAAAAACAGAACACAATGCTTAATGAATTCTTATGCAATTTAAAGGTACTCTAACTTTCTTTTATTTAAACATTTTTCTGTAAACCTAAGTATTCTGTTTGCTCCTTTTATTGCTTCCTGCAATGCCTGTCTTGATGAGGACATAAACACACAAATCACTTTCATGTATAACTTCCTATAGTGCAGAATCATCCATATGACTTCATGTATAATGAAACCATTTGCCAAGTGTCTACCCTTCTATGATTAAGGTTTTGCTGAAGTCTTACATCAGTTCAATTCAAGATTGTACCCCTTAAGATGACAAGCTGTTAAGCAGTTCTCAACTCATATCAATACACTATATTATATAGTTTTAAGTTTAAACTTTATCAAAACCTTTACAGACATTTAAATAGCTTAAATCATTGTTGATCTAAGAATTCTAGCATGAAAACATTTTTTGCAAGCTTTTGTCTACATTAGCTTTATTTTTTCCACATTTGCCATATTTGTAATGGCACGATCTGAAGAAAATGTTTCAATAAATGTCACACGTGTACTAGTGAAAATTCCTATTGTGCCAATGAGGAAAAAAACTGTAGTTTAACCAGTTCTTTTAAATATAGGAGGTTATGCATTTGATTATCGCTAAGTCTATTAAGGTGCGTAGCTTAGACAGTACAACAACATCAAGGCTCTCTGAAGACCTGGAAATCCCCAGAAAGCATGTGTGAGCACATAAAACACGGTCATGCAATGTCACATGCAAAGCTCTGCTTCACCTATTTTTATTTTGCCCTGTGACGTTCTTCCTCAACATTTAACTGTACAGTACACACCACATGGAGCAATCAGTAGCTCTCCTACGCATCACACTAAACACTTAACCTCACAGAATCTGTAGAGCCTTAATGCAAGGACTCTCACTGTAGAGAATTATGAAGCTGTACAAAATACACTTCAATACCCCTTTCATAACTACAGTAATTCTGCTGCAGCTGTACAAACCTTCCAGACTTAATCAAGCTTATAACCCCCTTCTCCCATGCGTGAAAGCATACACACTCACAACACCATCTCTAGTGCTAAAATGCAACATAATACAACATTCAATCGGCTCGGTTTTCAGTTACTGGCACACATCTACAGAAAGTTATTACATTAGACCTCTTTAGAGCAAAGATAGAGTCCATGACAAGCTGTAACCTCTGTTCATCCAGGGTTTCTCTTTAGCTTTGGAGAAAGAATGCACTCTTGCCATAAAGGAAAGCTCAATGGTGTCATCTCCCATTCACAAAAACACCATAACAAAATGACTATTAAAATTGTTAAAGGCACTTTTCATGTAAAAAATGGTGTGAGAAGTGGAAAAGGATATTTTTTATTTGTTATTTTCCTCTAGTTCTCTGTGGGAACAGGCTTTATTTCAGGAAAGAACAACTTTGTGCCTGTGCAGCTGACCTATGGAGTCGAAACCTCTACTGTTTAGATGAAAAGCATTGTTCCAAGTACTTTTACCACTCCGTTGACACTGTACAGAATCAAAATAAGGAGTACAGATTTTCTCCTATAAATATTTTCTTAAATCATTATTTTCTTCTGAAAATGTAAGCAGGTATCCGTTTTGTCTGTATGTCTGGAAGTTAAAAATGTGAATAATGTATAATCAACTTTAAAAGAACCTCTAGTCACTTAAAATAATGGAACCCCTTTTACAAAATTTCAGAATGAAAAGCATTGAGAAGCAAGGCCTGAACAATGTCTAAAATAAACCATGTAATCTATATAAGTGACAGCTGAAAAATACAGAACTGTGATGTCCTGCTCAGATTGATTCTCCAAAGCAAAGGCCACAGGATGCCAATACAAAAAACAATGAAAAGGACTGACTGCAAGGAACCTCTTCTTCCTTCAGAAACAAAAGCAGACTCAAATCGTCATCACAAACATTAAAGCACATAAATCATATTATTCTGCCAAGGCTCATAGACACTTAAGAATATACTTTCAATTGAGTATATGAACCAGGAATATGCCATGGGAAACTTTGTGAAATATTGCGCACAAACAGGATTGCTACACCTGCCAGCAAAATCAATACTGTTGTTTTAGGCTTTGCCAGAAGAGTCACTGGGAGTTACCCCCCTCTTAAACCAAAAGGTCAAAAGCAAGACTGTAAAAACAGTTCCAATACATGTAGTACATTTCCCCATATTAATTTTTTGTAGTTTCACAGTATCCAAAAAGCTACATTACCCTTATCAAGAACCATACTTGAAAGCTTTCCAGTTCCTGCAAATCCCATGAATAGCAGGATAGCATCCAATCACCAACTTTACATTAATATACAGTACATGCAGTGATGGAATTTATTTCTTAAAGAGTCCACACTTATCGAAGAGAAAGCTTACGCATTGTGCATTCAGAAAAAACTAAGTATTGGCGATTGGAGAGTGGTAGGCCCACAGACGTATTTTGCTTATCCTGTTTGCATCACTGCAGGTAAACGCTTTTATTTCAGCACCTGACCACATTGTTTGCATTTTTCACAATGGTTGATAAACTTGCTTCCAACATCACGCTGAAGAAAAACCCATATGCCTACCATAGCCAAGCACCTGTGGGGAAACAAAGAAATTATAGCAATATAACCACATCCATAATTTTGACTAACTGCACTACCTGTCAGAATCTTATTATATGTGTAGATGTGTGCAACTATAGGTAGCAGTTTTAGTTTGGCTAAAAAGTACACTGCATGATGTCAGAACATATCGCATGTGGTACCAGCAAAAAGCAACTTCTGTGACTCAGGGGGCCACACAGTTTTTGAGATGGTCAGTGTGGCTTTACAGAGATGTTTTGGAATATGTTCTTATTATAATATGACCATTAATATGGAACTGGAACTGCGGTTTCTGTGTTTTTGAACAAATTTTCCATTAATGGCTAATGTACCAATTCTAAGCCCTATATTCTTTATACTGATCTCATTAAAGAAATATAAAATGTATTTGCCTGTTGCAGTACAACTTCCCTTCTTGCTCTAAAGGGTCCACTGTTCTCCTACAGTACATCTACAGCATAACTGCAGTGTACAGTAGGTCTTTCTAAGTACCCTAGCCAACAAGAAATGGTCCAAAAACATCCTTCAGGTTGAACGTGAAAGAACTAAAGAAAAGGATAGAACAGGCTATTGAAAAAATCTAAACGCTTATTTATCAATCCCAGAGAAATCTCAGCCCTATTCAAGAATATACTATGTTTCTGCCAGAGTCCATTAAGGTGACAGCTTCAGCTCTACCCAAACCCAGGATCCAGATGCTGGAGAGATCTCGGAGTACTTTTGCCTCTGAGCTCAGGGATCATTCCTAGAAAATACCCCTGGTAATATCAGCAGTACAGTGAGACTACTCAAGCCCAAGGGCTTCTGCTAGCTCTATCTGCTTACTGTAACTAACATCTGATTAGTCTGCTTTTTGCCTTTTAAAAGATTGGTATTTTCATTTCCCCATAATTACACCCCACCCGTAAAACAAGATTCACCCTTTAAATGCCACTCACATGCACAATCTTTAGACACAAGTGAACTAGAGACCAGATACAGTACCAGACCAGAGGTTCACTGAGTGACAATTATAATCTCAAGCACATAGTTAAACAGAAACGATTAAATAGTTTTTATCTTCATTTAAATACTCTGTGTAGACTATTTTCTGTGTGCTGTCACCATCCCCCCACATCCTTCCTTGTTAGGAGATACTGTAGCTTATGGTGAAACAGGCGTATTCAATTTGTTTTCAGACTTCAAAAAGCCTACAGCCCGACTTGCAGATATATATTTTTTAACTTCAATTGAACCTCCCCTGCAGAAAGTCTGATGACCTCTGTAAAAACATGCTGCATCCTCAATAAAGGGCATAAACACGTGTTCAAAATCACCACCCCAAAGGACACAACAGCTACAGAAGCATCCTGCCAGGAAACAGTGAATTTAAGTGCCTGCCTTCCAAGTTAAAGGCTTATCAACAGGTCTCCCTAAGGTTTGGGTTTACATGCAGAGCCACATGAGATCTTGTAGAGAACTCACATCCTGCTCACACCCACCGTCAAGAGAGTTTATCGAAGACCGCACATGTCCATCTGGGAAACGGAGATTAGGAACCTACAAGTTTTGTTTCAGTAACTTCTTATTATCAAACATTTCAAAGTATCATTTACTGTGGAAATAATAAATAAATTTGTATGAGTACTACTGTACAGTTGGTTAAAACCATTACAGGCCTGCTTATATACTCTGCTCACACAGATTAAACCAACATGGTTTATTTCCCCACCAACTGACAACTCTTTACTGGGAATTTTTACTGAAATGTTCTGAAAAACTCACCGGATTTAATACTCAGCCCATCCTCACATGCATAAAATCAAACACTTCTAGCATGGGAGATGATCTATTTGGTTTGTTTTAAACTAATCAGGCTAACGAATAACTGCAGGCTATAATGGTACTTTAAAAATAAAATATAGTAACGTTAATAGGACCAAAAACATCCAGACACTGATCTATCTTGTTTTCTGGTGTACTTTAAATACTGTAAAGTGTCACTGTCTCCCCATATTCTTGTGACAAGCTGTCCAGAAATAAGTGCTATACAGTAGCAAAGAACTGACTGGCTGCTAAGAGATACAAGGTCACATTAAAAATATATATATACATACTATTGGACACAAACAACTAGCAGCATATTCCAATCTTAGCCATCCTGTATTTGAAACCTGTTAACTGCATGAACCTATGATTGAACTTAAATTGCACACCAAAGAGAACTTTAAATTTGCTCTTTAGCTACTACCTCTACTGTTGTAATGCACTCCGTTTTTAATCTTAAGATCCACAAATCATGACCATGTTAACATTAAAAAAGGGAAAATAAGAATTAAGCAGGAAGCTAACTGGTCATTGCCTTTTCTCCACCCAAAACTGGCCTGTGAAGTTCAACAGTAGGTACTACTTAAAAACAGAGGAAATATTGGAATAGAAACTGCCTTGCATGTTATATATTAACCTAAACAATGTTTAGTGCCATAACATTAGTGTCATAAAGGTGCTATTAACAGCACAATTATAGCCCCACATCAAAATTTAACATCTCTCACTCTGACCTGCCTTCCACAGATCTGGAGTGTTTCAAAAGCAGTGCCCTAGAATTCTATAGACATTCCACCAGCAAATATGACATCAGCAGCATCTGAAAAACACACAGCCACTCCTACAGAGGCACCATCTTCCTCCAAACATTCATTAGGCTGTGGTCTGCTCTTCCTCCTACTTTAGCAACAGACTGTGATCAGTCTATGAGCAATCAGAGTAAAGGCACCAGAAACATACTCTCAAGACTAAGAATCACATGAAAGGAGGGCAGTGGTGATCTCTATGGCTCAACCATCACATTTCCAAAACCTTAGTAACGCAGCATGATACAGTGCTGGTTACGCATCTGTGTTATGGCATGCATCATTTTCCATGGTGTCATTTGCTCTTTTCATTGTTTTCTTCTATGTAAAATAGAAAAAAAAAACACTATAATGACATGACAATAAAACAAGTTTACTCTTGTGAGGCAAAATAAGTATAAGCTTAACCAATAGGGTTTAAGACAGAATACAGAACTGGTTTTACACAGCCTACTTTGCACTAAACTTGCAATTCCTGATGTTAGCATCAGAAGGTCTATGATTAAGGCTAATTAGGGACTGTGAAACCAGAAGTGGAACTGGACTAAAATCCAAACCTGATCTTGGAGATATCCAATCTGTCAGCTTTTTAGGTAGCCTTTTAAGTGCTTAAAGATCACATTAACCTTGACAAATGAAGGTTGTTCATTGGCCAATTACACAAAAGGACAGTCCGCAGTGGCGGTTATAAAAGCTGTTTTAGATATGCAAATTACCCATTTTAAGAGCATGATAAAAAAAAATTGTTCTGCGATGTCAGTGATAAAAACGGGCAGATAGTGAGCAGACCACTAAACCCTTCTGACATCGAATAAAATGAAGCCAGCAAAAATCAACTAAAATCAGAAACGGAAATGCTAAACTTCTATGAAGCGCCTCCAACCAAACAAGGGTCACCCTCATTTACAAAAATATGTTGAAATGCGTTATCTATTTTTCTATTTAATGCACACAAAATAAAGTTCTGTTGAAATCTACGAACGTTGAGTTATAGCGTAGAGGAACGTCGTGAAAGTAAGAACAAGGATGTGGGAACACGAAAGCATTCAGTAAGCACCAGGTTGCACAACTCTCTTCCTTAAAATTGAGCGGCAGTGTAAAACAAATGTAACCAATAGCAAATTTACTAAAACAAAAGCTTACTTTATGAACGGGACTTGCTCAGACTTTATTTGAGTTTGATGATACATTCGTAAAATATGCTCAAACTTTCCTGGTGCATGTCAACAGGTTTATGACAGGCTCTGCCCTGACTTTTGCCGGCTTGTTGCACGAGTCTTTGGCATAACACTGGTACTGTAACTACAACACTCACGACTTTATCCCCACACGTCAAATGCTATTACTGTAACCAGTAACTGTCCAAACTCGTGTCAATAATACAATGCATCTGTTTTCGCTTCCTTATTTATAAACATCTACAAATACTAAATGAAATGAAAAAGAAGCCCAGAGCGCTTACCTAAAACTTACCTTGTAAACTTTCCCAAATGCTCCATCTCCCAGCTCTCCAATAATCTCCCAAATGTCATTGGGGTTTAAGTCCCGGTGTACGTGTTCATACTGCTTCTGTTTCTTTCTGTCTAAACTTGAGAGTCGCAATATTTTGCTGAATTTCGCTAAAGCCATGTTTCTTCCCCGAAATGTAGCTCCCTTAAAAAAACAGCTTTGTGAATGAAAAGGAGTTCACCTTTTGCTGTCGCTAATTTCATTCACGCTAAACAAGCGTGTGGAGGCTGACCACCCATTACAAAATAAAATAAGCAGCTGAAGTTTGTTTTCTAAGTATTACTGTGACTACACCCAAAATAAAAGGATTGAATATATAAATATACAGTCACATAACACTAGCCATAGCTACATTATATCCGCCTGTGCTCTTTTAACACTTAAAATATGAAAATCCTCTTCACAGCAACTCTGTAGCCTCTCATTACTTCAACTCTGCCCACCTGCTACTGCTGAACGCATTTAACACTGAAACTAAGCAGAGAACGAAAGCCCCACCCTACCCTTGACCTCTCTGCCCCTGCAGCCATCTTGAATTTGTAGTTTTCTAGCTGGAGTTCTCGATATGTTAGTCTCTAAAACGATGCATGTGAAGAACTACATATACCATAAACAACTATCGTGGGCAGGCTTGTTGGAATTTGGAGAAAAGTCCTCTCTAAAGATTTAATCCTATGGCGATAATAGATAATAATGATAGATGACATGTCGTAATGAAATAAAGTGACACCATGGGATTCTAGTGAATTAGTTTCGTGTTTCACAGTACAATGTCATTAAAATAACATGTTTTATCTTGTTATGTAGTTATTTCATTTTTTATTTTGGTTTCATACTGTTTTACTACTTCTTACGTTGCACAGATGTGTTCGACAGCAGCAAAAACGCTTTCTCTTTATTTGGTCTTCAGTTAAAAACAGTGGCTGGTGTCGCTTGTGAATTCCCCTGAACGGGCTTTGCAATACTACGAAGATGTCTTTTTCTGCCATCTGGTGGTTGTTAGGCGCAAAGCTGTTGTCTGGTTGCACCTTTTTTTTACCACTAGACAGAGACAAAACTCTAGGGACCATTTCCTAGAGTTTCCAAGTTTCCTTTTTTCAAAACTGTGTGGGAAAACCAAGAATAGTCCTGTTGCCAGCTGCAAAAAGAAGCAAAGGTGCTGTTTACACTGAGCACACAGAAACATTTTTTTTTGTAATGTTGTAAGATATTAGTATTTTGTTAAAGTAGTCCAGGTGGGTAGCTGCGTAAGCATGCGTAGGCTGCAAAGGAACAAATAATGGGTTGTGGAGCCTTCTTCACACCTGAAGAAGACTCCATATCCAAAACGTTGTGTTTTCTTTCTTCTCTTTTCAGCATGTAATAAACCTATTACTTGCTACTTTGTTGAATCTCAGTAAAGTAGATAGTGGCATTTTATGGGTTTGCTGATACAACATGAGTATAAAATCTGAATTCCAGACTTTTACTATTGCAATTGAAATTTGCTGACTGAGGAATTGAAAAAATGTTACGGTAAGTGGAGGTTTACTGTATATTTGTGAAGAAGAGTTCCAACATTGCCTTTTTAAGGACATAAGAAAGGTTGTAATTGAGGGAAGGCCTTTCAGCCCATCCTGCTTGTTTGGTAGTTCAGTAGCTATGTTTATCAGAATTTATAAAGCCACATCTTGAGCTCAGAGTCAGATTTGCACCCTCCTGGCTAGGAAGTTCCAGACAACCACAAGTCTTTGGGACTATACCGTACACATTTGTTCCACCACTGAGTTCAAAGTAGTCCACCAGGCTGGCTCTGTCAATACCCTTATAATCTTTATATACTTTTGGATCAAAGCTTCCCTCACTCTTCTTCATCTAGACTAAAGAGATTTAGTTCCTTTATTCTGCAGTATTTGACAATTCTCTGAGACGGGATATCTTATTGCTGCCCTTTCTAAACTTTCTAAGTCAAGAATATCCTTTTGTGGTCAGATGATTAAAACTAAACAAGTTATTCAAATTGTGGTCTCTCTATTTGTTAAACCTAAGCATATTAGCGATACTCCCAAACATTTTATTTGTTTTTTTTTTATTTCCCTGCATTATCCTGATGAGGGCATGGAAGAATATCAATAAACACAGAAATACTTTTCACACCTAGCTTGTGTAATATTATGCAATGCTTTTCATGTATTTCACATACAGCATACATAATGTGCATAGTACTGTATGTGCACAATATGTCATGGTTCAAATATTTCATGGTTAGAATGTAATACTGTATGTACAGTATATATTATGCTTCATGTGGAGTATAAATTGAATCTTTGATATGCAGTGTCTTTCATTTTAATAATGGTACATTTTATGCTGAAAAGTAGAAAGAGAAAAAAGTTGTTTCGACATAAGATCTTCTTCCTTTTTATGTCTTTCTCCAGAGTGAACAATCCTTTGCTTCAACCACCACATCTCGCCCTCCCCCCAAACCAAACAATTCCTAAAAGACTGAATTAAGGAAAGGAAAACATTCCAAATTCACAAAGATCTCAATTAGCTTATAACCTTTAAAACCCCACTGAATAAGACAAGCGTTTTTTGTTCATTAATTTAAGGGATAATATTATTAATACTATAGAATAAAGCCATGAAAGCAGATGGTAAGAAAAAAGGATGGTTTTCATTGCATGAGAAAACGTGTTCGTTTTATCCACATTTCTGAGAAACCTTTGTTCTGGAATGATAGTTAAGTAAGACTGCATGCCTCTAGGCATCATTCAAGGACCCAAAGGCAGTAAGCACTGATTGTTCACATCTCCAGCTTGGTGCATTTGACTTTGTCTTCTATGACTCCTGGGAGTATGTGATTGACTCTAGCCTGAGGTGCCGCTGCAGTTCTTTTCACATTACTGCAACTTAGTTTGGAAGTTCTTAACTCTTCTCAGAGCTCAGGGAGCTCACTCACTTCTGTCAATGATTGAAAACAGTACCCAAAGTGGTTTATCACACCATTAACAATTTTCCTGTATTTCTATTTTGCACCCTAAGGGCAGCTACTACAATTGTAATCATTTATCATTATAACTTTTCAGCTTTCTGCTGAAAATATCCTTTAACCTCACTGTAACATTTACCATTAAAAACATTGAGTGGTGCCAGTAGATTTCTTTTTATTGATGTCATTATGATTAAATTAAACTTCTAAATCATTCTGAGAAATACTGAAGTACTGACCAATACACAACCAAAGATATATTCATTTGTACAGGATGTATGTGTGAGCTACTGAAGATAGATTCATTTGTAAAATATGTGAAGGACTATTCTGTTAGCTTCTATTTCAATGATTAAATAAAATGATTCAATATGAATCATTTTCGATTGATGGTCCAATATAACTACAGTTATCCATTTTGAAAACAGGTCTTGATAAAGATAAAAGATAGACTTTGTAAGCACTGTTTACATTTAGTAGCAACTTAACCCCACTTTCACCAAAAATAATTGCTTTCGGTTACAATAAAGGTACTTTGCAAGATTTTGTGGGAAATCTAGGATTCAGTAACTTTTCGATGAAATGTCTGGGAGCAGCTGCAGGGGTATAGATGGGGTGCCAGGAGAGGTTGCAAGAATTCAATGTTTGGAAGTCCTAAGTGAGAGACTTACTGTATATACTGTAGTGTTTGAGATTATGATCTAACCTATCTCCCGAATTTCAATTATGATTTCTGTTATAATTCAATTTTTCAGTTGACTTCCGTGTGCCTTTACGAAAACTCTTTGACATATATAATACTGAACTGCTTAAGAACTTAATTCTGGCTAACATCTGTATTTCTCAAAAATGTACTGTATATTGCATGCAGAATTCTCCTGTGATGCTACATTATTCTGTCAAGTCATGCAAGTACAAAGAGCACTTGGTGTAATACTGCCACATTTACAAGAATGCTCAACATAAATGCACTTTTAAGTATGAAGGCTATTATAATGGTGGCGGGTGTGTGTGTTTAATTGAGCTTGTCTGCTCAACTGGTCTTTCACTATGCTTTATTTACCATGTGATTGCAGCTATTGCTGTTGAGTGAAGAGATATCACAAAATAACACCTGATACATCTGTGCCATTACTAGATAGAGCCAGTAGGCTAAGAAGACCTGATCTGACACGTTCTCATTATCCACACACTGAAGTGTCAATGAGATGTTGACGCTGAGGCAAAGCCAGATACAGAACATCTGATTTTAGGTGAAGTGGAGGAGTTCTGTGAAAATAGTAACAAAGACAGAGATCCTAATCTATATTTTGATGTCTTCTATTCAAAGTTTCAATAATACAAAAAGAGTTACAAATGAAAAGAGGCCATTTGGCCCATTTGTTCTTTAAGTTAGTTTTTAACTAATTGGTCTGAGGATCACATCCAACTGTTTCTTAAAAGATTCTTATCATTTTCAGTAGTTAATTAACTTCAACACCAATCCTAATATTTTATGTTTGAACATAATACATTTTTTACCAACCTAAACGATGCAATCAGCTTGAAACACAGTTTATATGGGTTAATAATTGATATTTTAATTGTAATCAATGTACAGAGCTGGAAAATATGCAGTACATTGGTCTGATAAAAAAGAAGTTTCGGAAAAATATTTTGAATAAGTCACACAATTTCAAAACTGTGTAGATAATGAAGTTATAAATATTAAACATTGGAATCTTATGAGGTTTCTTTAAATGGTCCATTTTATCTACCAGTAAAAGAGGGTCAAGTTAATATTTCTTATGTTTCAAATATTGAACTTTGACAAATTGAAAATGTTGCATTTTATTTGTTCATTTTCCTAACACGTATACAAAAAAATGTTGATGTTTTTTGGTGTAATCTGTTGTAACATGGCGGTGGATGGCAAGAAGACCCTGCTAAACAGAACAGTACAAGTGCTATCTGCTCAGCAAAGGCCACACTTGGCATTGCTCAGCTTTGGTCTGAGAAGAGGTAACCTGCATGTAGCTTGGTGAATCAAAACATGCCTGTCACTAGCTCTGAAGCATGACTCACTATCAAGAAATCCCCTGTGTGCTTTTCATTTGGCTTTCATAAAATCTCTGAAACTGCTTAAACTGCATGGGCTTGTACCAACTGGAGATCCGGTAGTTCTGTACTGGATTTGTTGTCTCATGAGTAACCAGTAATAAGCCTGTATTTTAAAAATGTTTACTGTCTACATAGTCAAAAGCAAAAAAAGTGTCTTTGAAGCTATTCATGGTCAACATTTAGTTGCTGTTTTATTTCCAGGAAATGCCCCTTAAAAGATAATAATTGGAATGTATTATTGAAAATATATGGCTCATTATTTAATATACGTAATTAATTATTCACACATTTTTGCATTTTTATTGCTTGGAATATGCAATCACATTTTTCATGTTATCCACTTATCAACTAGGGGTATTCTGGTTTCACCATTTCATAAAAGCCTGTTTTCATAAGATGAATCTCGTCAGCAGGCAACAGTAACAATGTATTGGTCCTTGCCTGGGCTCTCTGGGTTGTGGGTGAAAAGTTAAATGAACTCTCATTTTAGGCCATGTAGAATTTTAAACAATAAACCAATGCACCATTGAAAACAGAATATACTCATATTGATATCCATACTCCTGATATTGTTATTATCACATGTTTTACTATTTAAATCTGTTATGGATAACCCTCAAATACCTTCTCCCTTTTATATTTCACATTAAATGAACAGTACTACTATTAGTACTAGTACCTAAATAAAAAAATGCCAGTAGAGGCAATTATTGATTTGTTAACTTGTTAAGCAAAACCAAACATCAGCAAAATGTCTATATTACAGATTCTAGAAAAGAATAGACCATTTAAACAGCTTTCAACTCTAGTCAGAATTAGAACAAGCATGTTGTAAACAAAACTGATAAGTTCTTGCCATGTACAAAGTGCAGATCAGATTTGCTTTAAATGTAATATTGCAGCTCTCTTTTAAAAAGTGTTTTTTTTCTCACTGTGTAAAGTGAATTACACACCTGGCTGAAACACACTTGCAATTATTAATATTTTTTCTTTCAGATTTTCATGCAGGGTTTGAATATCTGGCTGTGATAGGGTTTTTCATTTGTATCTCCATAACAAGCTGTCCAAGATAGCAAGAACATCCTTTATTTTTGTGATTTGGCAAATGCTCCTTTTTCTATCAGATGAAAAAAAAAACATCTTCTAACAGTTTAAAATAACCACATTTACATTTAATTAAAGCTTCAAAAACAACAAAAGTGTGGAGGTGAAATAGATCCCTCAATCACAAATATAATGGCTGCTTTTATATCATCAAAGAGATTACCTGTCATTTTCTCTTGATCCACAGTGAGAACTTTGGGTTCTGAAGAGGTAATATCCTTTTTCTTCATGATCCGGAAAAAATGCATTTGTTGTTTTCTAGAATTGAAGGAAGCTTGAGAGCAGCAAAAAATAAAGCTCTTATGGTACATTATATATTCTTAAATTGTTCCATTCATAATGGGAGAGTATGTCAATGGAAAGAATAGACATGATAGACAGAATCTTTTACAGGTTTTTTCTAAAGCTGCAGTGATGTGTAAACATAGCAGGAAAAGCCTACTTCAAGTTACATAATGTCTTTTAAGTAACCAGGAACACTGTGTTCCTCAGGCTCCAACAATTAGATCCTGACATGCAGCTGCTTTGGAAATGCATGGTCTGACTTTGTCATAATGCTAAGTCTAGACCAGAAGAACAGACTGAAAGTAAACTTTGGGCAGGTGGTGTAAGTTCATAAGTTCCTGCTACTTGATGAGCTGGTACAGTACCTACTGTACAGCCAAAACAGATCCGGATCATCTGGTGCAGCATTTGTTTTTTGTGCTGCAATTCAGATGATCCCACCTACAGTACCACTCAAATGAGAGGTGTCAGTAGTGCAGATACCAGAGTCAAGGAAAACTACACTGAATTTTGTTACAGCCATTGATTCTAATACCCATGATTGACACCCAAAGAAGGCTCCACAGCCGAAATGTTGTGTTTTCTTTCTTCTCTTTTCAGCATGGAATAAATCTATTACTTGTTCCTTTGCATACCCATGATAATGCCCTTGGCAACCATAACCCATTGGTTTAGCATTTTCTGGCCACACAGAAGGACATTTCTAGGTAAAATATTGATAAATTCCAGCAAATACACCTTATAATATTTCATACTCATCGGATACATTTAACCAGTTTCTTAATCATAATTTTGTTTCAGGATTTTGTCACATACAGTGCACTCCATTGCTATCCTTTATTTTCCTCAGTAGATGGCACTAGCTTTGTTCTGTATATATTGTTTTTATTATCTGGTTATGCTTTTAATTAAGATTTTACGTGCTTTAAGTACAGCTATGTACAGTATAACGGGCAGAAGAGGTTTATATGTTTATGTGACACATTTCTGTTGATAGAAGACTGAAAACAAATGCTTTACAAAAACAGCAAAAATTATAACATTGTATTGAGACTGAAAAGAAAAAATATATATAAACTTCCAAGAAGGGATATAATGTAATGTATTTATTTCCAACGCTTCGAGTTTTACAGTTAAAAAAAACAAGCATGTATAGTCTTCAAAACACTATATTACTGCATGTCTCCAAGGAAAACGTCTCTGTTCTCCTCCTCGTGTAGCATAGTTTCACTAAATCACTGGAAATTTAAGAGTCAAAACACGAAGAAGAAGTGGAAGTAGAAGTTTTAATATTCCATTTTAATTTTACCTTTGAACCTCATCCTCATATAACACACATGAATACACACGTCTGTCAAATACTTATCCGGCAAAACCTGTATTTTATATTTTATGTAGTGTGCGTTGAATGGAATTCACTCAGATGTCATACATTTACCAAACCAATTTGAAAACTCTCACTCATCTACCCACTATCAGAATCCAGTTATATGTGGTAAGAGTCATTGAATGCAAAACGACACTACACCCATCAAGCCTTTATCAAAAGCGGCAGGAAAATGGAGATTCCGGGTTAGGCTCCGGGTTGTCTTGACCTGTCTCAGGAACAAGCGGATTTTTTATCATGGATAAGTAAAAGGGTCTTGGATTTAGGAGGGGGTAGTACAGAGCTTTGGAAATAGCGAGCGTCTAGTTAAAGCTGTATTTCTATCGAGGAGGGGTGGCTTTGGAATGAGGAACGAAGTTTGGCTGGAAAGCAGATCTGGAGGGGGGCTGCGCCGCGCCTTAAAGCAGTCAGTCAGCCTTGACCTCTGTGAATTGATGGATAGGAACAAGGCCATCTTGGCAGTACCCACCTTAGTCAGGAAAAAAGAAAATGTTGCACTGTAAGCAAAACCGAAAATGACATGTTACAGTATTCAGGAAAACCTGCCACATAACCCTGACCTACACAATTAAGCACTGAAAAGCAATTCCTAATGGATGGATACGATGGTTTTATCACCTGCTATTTTTTATCTCTGTTTCTTCTCCTGAAAATAAGATTGTAACCTTCTGTGTTGGCATTTTTTAACTGTAAGACGTAATACTTCTATAACGTTAAACATTTTACTTCGTTGGGGGCATAACAATAGGTTCTAAACGGTTTTCTTTGGGTCTTTACAGGATTTAAAATGATCTTATACAAAGCACCACCAGCACCTTACTTTATTTAAGTATTTAGTTTTGCTACCCATCCCAGATATGGTTCGTGCTTAAACCGAGCTATTTTATATGTACTGTATCAATCGTGATTTTTCTTTGTAAAAATGCATGGGGTGAAAATATTTCGTTTTTCAGTCGATAATTTAAACATTATCTGCAACTCCAATTCGAATAGAAGATTAACTACAATGGAGAAATTTCTCCTGAAGATTTATTTAGCATTTGAACCATCTATTTATACAATATTGTTAGTTCTGATTGTCCCGAAGTGTTATAAACCAAGTTTAAAAGAACCTAAAAAATAACTGTTTTGAGACTGTTTTAAAATCTTTTTTCAGTGAGAGAGTAACTGATAGTATGTTGCAGTTAAGCCTTTTTCTTTCTGAAAAGAAACGGATTTGAAGTTTCTATAAATCTTAAATTTAGAAATAAGGCATTAACGCCAGACTCATAACTCTTAATCTTAAACGTTAAGTGTCACAGGCTGACCCTTGACATACTGTACAGTATCATTAACCGTTCTTTCATTTGTACATTATCAATTTCATCTCAAAGTTTCCATTACTCTATTATATATAGGTGGGGATCCACTTTGGCCATTAGGATAAACCCCGCGTCATAGCAGATCAGATGCAGACAATAATTCAAACACTAGGGCGCTTTAATTTACAGCGTATTCGCATATATAAATTTCAATTATTTTAATTAGTCCTTTGGTAGTATTTCCAAAATATGTAGTTTCTAGTTTCACTGTACATTTTTAAAATCGAATTATTTGCGATGCAACTAAACCACGTTACCAAAAGTTTAAACGGTGACCTCATCATTTAAAACAGGAGCTGGAATAGGCTACCGTTGTCTTTCACGCAGCCTCTGATGTTCGCTTTAGAAGTAAACCCAGAATTCTAATAGACTTCCTGCAGTCGGCGAAGCGTGCTGCCAAAGGCAGAGTGACTTACTGTAGGACACCACCACACCACCAGACCGTGCGGTAGTCAATTGGGAAACAGGGTTGTATTGTGCGGAGTAGTCAGCTATTTCCCAGCTGCTGATATGCATATACTGTAGATACACCGACTCATGTTTTTTTTTCTTTGACAGTATTTTGAAGTCAGCAGTCTACGAGCGCAAGATAAGAAGTCACACACTCTACTACTTCATACATTAAGAGCACAGACTAGCTCCTTTAATAATCCCTGTTAGTCTGAAAGAGGCTCTTGCTTGCAGTTTGCAGTCTTCTTCTACAAAGATGCGTGTGAGACATTCACATCTGAAGAAAGGGGTTTATCTTCTGCTCCTGCACTTTATGTCCTGCTAGCCCGATTCTTTTCAGTGACCCCCTACGCTGTTCCAAGGTATGTATTGTTTAATAGAAGATTTTCAGAGTTTTATGCTACAGCATCTTGTCCTCGTACAGTATATTTTGCTGTTGTCTGCAAAGCAGCGTTTTAGTACACTTGAGACCAGCAGTATGCGGTTTACTGTATGTTTGCTGTAAACATAACTCTAAAGTTGGTAAAATTGCTAAAGTGATTAAATCCGGGTCCAGCATTACGAGCAGTGCAAGATAAAAGGACATTGCTTTTTTGTAAATGCATGAATCTTGAACTGACCCACCTGACAAGCGGGAAACCGTTATATAATTATGTTTAAATGTTTTGCGCTTTTATATTTTTAAAACTACAGTACATAAGGCTCATGTATGAACTGTGTGTATTTTGAGTATAATAGATCTACTATAATGCTAGGAATTGTTATTATTATTAATAACAATAAGAATACCAATAATAATGTTTGTAAAAATTGTTTAATGGAAAATAAAACCCTCTAATTTTAACAGGGGTTTCACGTGTCCATTTTAGAGTTTTGCAGTGGACCAGATGGTCACTTTTAAGCTAGATACATTTTGTTGTATACGTGTACAGTACATATTTACAGTACTGTGTTTCTAATATTGTATATTAAGATTGGTGGCTTTTTTTTATCTTTTCCTTCTTTTGGAATAAAAAAAATAACAAAAATCAACTTTACTGACCCTTAACAGGTTTTCACTTTGGGTCTCCAGTTACTGAATCTTGTGCTGGCTACACCTAACTGTTGTAGGAGAAGACTTCACTCAAACTTCGCTTCAGTTAATCGGAAAATGTTCTCTCTATCTCGGAGATGATCTGAAGGAGCTGATCAGAAGCATTAGAACAATGGGCGTGAATCACTCTAGCAAACCTCCGGTCATTGATGATGCGGAAGAGGGTAAGGTTTTTATGTTATCCCTTATGAGTTATATAACTTAACAGATTCGCACTTAAAACTGTAGACAAGGGATTATGCTAATTTATGCTTTATGTTTTTCGTGTCGACGAAAAAGACGTTCTTACCTGCAGAATCGAAGTATTAAGTATTTTTTAAAAGATGGGGTTTTGAAATCCTTCCTTTCTTTCAGAGCATGAATTCTGATGAGCCAGAAATAAATAGTACAGTACATTAAAATGATTACAGTGTTTATGTTGGGATGTAGAATATTATGTTATATATTACAGTATATTACAGTGTATATACTTTTACTAAATACTAAAAACTTTTTTTCACCTTAAGTAGTATTGCCATACAATTCTCCTGCCGTCACATCAGTGAATTTTAATTTGAATTCACTTATCCCGCGTGAATTTAAAAATACCATGTTTTACGCTCCATCCAATTCAGCGTCGCAGGGAATCCTATTTAAGCAAGCAACGAGCGCAAGGCAGGGTACACCTTGAAAGTCCATCTCCATCTCAGAAAACGAAAATTGCATACCTGTGTAAACATTTTTATCTTCTGCTAAAGTTTAATGAAATTCTAAGTAGTGAACTGCATCTCATTTCATTTTAGCCAGCAACTCCAAATAGCTCAATCAATAAGCAATTCCCAAAAGGAATAAGCATGGCTGTTGTGTTCAACAATAGTCTGTTATAGTTCAGGAGGTCTTAGAATAAGATTCTGAAAACAATAAATAACAACACTGGAAGTGCCTGAGACAGATGAGTAATAGAGCATAACATTGCCTGTCAGTTCCAATTCATCTTCAGTGAAGAAAGGTGAAGTGTCTGTACCAGCTCACGACAGAAGTCTGTATGAAATCAGACCCTGGGACTAAAGGAAGTCAGCTACAGTGTAATCTGGTTCAGGTCTTTCCTTACTCAAAGACTATGTAATATAAATGCAACTGCCAAAGCAATTCAAGGATAACCAGCAGTTAATTTGCTTGTGAGACTGGAATTTTCTGTAAAATGAGCCCCATTTATGATCATTGTATTTTGATACTGAAAGTATGGAGGTGCTGTAGGTGGCAGGTTGATTCTCATTCCCAAGCTAAGATAGCTGAAGAAGATAAGGAATGATCTAGACAGAAATTACATCCTATGCTGTGGTTCTGATGCAATATAATGTACATTCAAAAACAAACAGTAGCTACTGGATTAGGCAAAATGCATTTTGATATGGGTATTGGCTAATCAAGAAAACACATACCTGTACATTAGTTACTAAACAAGCTAATTGGGCAGTCTAACCTCCCTTTCTTTAACTTGTTGTTTAAATACACACAATATATTTTCCATTGTTCAATGATTGATAAGATAAGATCACTTTATTAGCCATATACAATTTCTTGCATTAGGAATTTGTCTTTTCACATACCCCAGCTTGCTCTCTATGAGACACAGACAGAGAGAAGCTTGGGGTCAGAACACAGGGTCAGCCATTGTACAGCACTCCTGTAGCAGTTGGGGAGAAGGGCTTTGCTCAGGGGCCCAACAAAGTAGGATTCCTCTGCTAGCCGCTGGATTTGAACCAGTAACCTTCTAGCCACAGGCACAGCCTCTTAACCACAGTGCCACCCCTCCCCCTGCATTTGATATGCAAATATATATATATTATTATTATTGTCTTGTGGAATCCAGGCAGCAGTTTACATGGGTTTCATTATGATTGTATGGAGATGAGCATTCTGCAAAAATATTGCTGCACAAAATATTGTATCAATATATTTTTTGAATAGCTAAAACATCACGTAACATGCATGGCTAGCAATAAAACCAAGTTCATGTAAATTTTCTGCAGCAGCTGTTTATTAAGTGTATACAATGCAAATTTAAATTCTGTATATTTCATATCGGGGATCTCAATTTTCAGTTCCCCAAAGGCCTAGTGTCTTTTCGTTTTTGTTCAGACCTGAATAATTCACAGAGTAGTCAATTAAATAATTAACCTAATCATATAATTTAAGAGATACATAGGATTAATCTTAAACTCTTTCACAGTTTAGTACTTTAAATGGTTACTCCATTGAGGATAAAATGACCTATAAAAATCATTGGATCTGGAAAAAATAATCTGATTAGAAGTATTACCATCACACAGTTAATGAAAGAATTGCTGGACTATGTAACCAGGAGGATAAGAGCAACAAATTACAATAGATAATAGGCACTTCTGAAACTGAATCTTAGACCCCTGGTATATACAGTATATAAATCTATCTGAAACATCTTTCTTCCACAGTCAACTTCGACCATTTTCAGATTCTCAGAGCTATTGGGAAAGGGAGCTTTGGAAAGGTAAGAAAACTACTCAACATCATTTGTCACCCAGTCGCTGAGTCATTTGTTTTAATTATCTGCAAAGCAAAAGACCCTGCTTCAATTGAGCCATCCAGTAACTTCTTTTGACTGTTTTGTCAAGACTCTCATAAAGATACCCTTTAGTTGTGTTTACCTAATATTAGTGATGTACAGACCATTATCTATAGAATGCAGGGAATATTTTAAGTACAAACAGTAATAGCTAATTAATTTAAAATGTATCCCCTGTGTTTTACCTAATCCTATTAAAATCATTCCACAAAGAGCTAATTGGCTCAGTCAATGTTATGGTGCCCTGTCTTTTGCAATACAGTGAGAAGTCTTGGACTTGGCAGAATAGGAACCTCTGCATTACCCTGAGTAAAAGCTTACCTGGTGTGTTTATTTTGTGTCACATGGTCATTTTGAAAAAAAAAATCTGATGCACGCGTTTACTGGTCATTGTCTTTTTCAGCACAGACAGTTTCTCCTAGGCATTATGTCTTTGTACACTAAAAATACATGTTGCATAGCAACAAGGAGCCTGTGTTGTATCAAGTAGCTATATCTTAGCCCCCTGAGGTATCACAAAATCAAGCACAGAGCACACAGAGGAAGTGGTGAGATCCAGTCCTTGGTGTATATATTTTTTGAGGAGAGATGTATGTCTTTGTCAACTGACATAGCAAAAAGAATAACCGGTAATGTTAGCCCTGTGTGGCCATAACCAATCCTTCTTTTCCGTATTGAGAGTTGGAACATGTGACATACTGTACAGTATGAGTCTTTTCTCCAATGTTCTGTTAACCTGAAGTCCCCATGTGTTAATAGGTCTGCATCGTACAGAAGAAAGACACAAAGAAAATGTATGCTATGAAATACATGAACAAGCTGAAGTGTGTGGAACGCAACGAAGTAAGAAATGTCTTCAAAGAAATGCAGATAATGCAGAAACTAGAACACCCCTTCTTAGTCAATTTTTGGTAAGCCTTCGTAATTTTCATTCTCTCTCCTTCGGTAGTTTAGCCCACACTGAAAAGAAGCTGAGAAATGTAAAAAGAGGATGTCGGGGCATTAGGGTTATTGATCCACAAGATGTGTTTCTTCAAGTGAAATTTAAAAATAAATGAGTAAAGAGTTCATTTAAACTCTATAAACAGTCACTGTTCCTTTCAACATCTCAGGTAGCCCAAAACACTAAGTCACACAGCTCACGTCATATTGCTGAATTTAAGCTGATAACTTTTGTCACAGGATAAACTTCAATATTAAGATGTTGATAAAAAAAAACTGTAAAAGCATTTTCTAAAAATAAGAAATCATTTGCAGTAGGAGCTGCACTAAAATATAGCCTTCTCACTTCCTTTTGCTGCTAAAAGGAGCAAGTGTCAACAACATATTTTCATTAAGATCAAGGATTGCAGTCTAAACCATTGGTACTTTCACAGCCACATGTTCTCACATGATTTCATGCAGCATCATCAATTTATATGGACAGAAAGCTATTGGAAAAAATCGCTACCTAAAAACTAAAAAGTACATGTACTTGATGTAAAAAATGTTAACTGTCCATTCTCATCCCATTCCAGCCACTGCTGGGAGGTGATCAAAATGTCCTGTGAATGTCCTTGCATTTTACTATTCAGAGCAGTTATGCTTTGGATATCATCATTAATTCTCCATCTGCAGTGTTGCAGCCTATTTAAGAATTTAAATGATTCTTCCAAAGATTTTATATAAGTTGTAACAGCTTTCAGTGAATAAATTGTTCCTCAAGCCCTGTTAGTCCTTAAAGCTATGTTTCCTTCATTTCAACCACATCATCTGTGTGTTATTTTGGATGCACTTAATATTCGTTAAGTGTGTTGTAAAGAGACTATATTTCAATTACTGATTTGATTCTAATTATTGAATTAAGATGTGGAGTGCAATAAGTCCACTGCATTGGTCCTGCAACTATGTGTATATAAAACTGAAATGTGCTTGGAAAGCACCAGACCACCACAATACACAGTGTATGTGCAGAGAAATTCAATTAAACCTTTGAAGTTAATGTCTTGAGCAGCAGATTAGCATTTTGAGTTATCTGCAACTTCCTGAGAGATTTGCAGCGGTCAGCTTGCTGGTGTAATTCTGATGGCTATGACAGACAAAATAAAAACCTGAAGGTCAGTGAAGTAGAAGGAAACAACTGACCATGTGATGTGCTTTCCTACTGGTGAGAATATTTCTGCCTTAAGGTCTTGCTAAGTGTATACTAACTTGTACATAAATATGATAGTGGCAAAGTAACCAGGAAACTATATGGGGATTTTGCAAATGAATTACCTTCATAGACGTAAAAGCACAAATCTCCCAAATGGTTCTTCATAAACTGTTAATGGAGCACAGCTTACAAGTGGCCTAGTGATTCCTGTCAGCATTATTGAATGTGCAGGACTCCTGCTGCTGTGAGGTCTTTTCAGACTGTTTACAAGCTGAGACAAAGTGAGACAATGATTTGAACCAGAATAGCTCACTGGTGCTACAGGTCAGCAGTAACAGATATACGTAACCAACAGCTCAAGGATTTACTGAAACTAGTTAATGAAGGCTTAAGCACACATCAATATTCACTAAGAGACACCCTTTCATAGTAATCACACTGTGTGTGCTTACTGTATGTTTTAAGCATGTGCCACACAAAAATCCATCACAGTTCATGAGCAACGGGTTTCTGTTTGTTCTCTAATTAATGTAATAATTCAAATGCAGTACTTTATATCAAACTAGAAGTTTTATGTAAACATCCATGTAATTTGTAGGCTGATGAATCATTTAATTATTGATTCTTTGAACCAGATTAATGCTGCAGACTTTAAAATGTTGGAAATAGTGTAGTATTATAAAATGCTGAACTGTTTGTTTCATAACTGTCTCATGTATTGATCAAATACACAGAGAACCTATGCTTCTGCAACAATCAAAATGTTAGAGCACATTGAACGCTGACTTTGTTTCTTTCATACTTTGTGTCTGTATGTAAATAAAATTAATTTAAAATAACTAGGAAAAGGGCAATAATAATAATATAAAAATATAAAGGGAATATAAGTACATAGGAGCCACAGACAATGCAGAAAGACATTTTCCTCATTGATCAGGAATAACAGCTGACAAGACCAGGCAATCCAATAAAATAAGACAAGAAGCTTGTGAGACAGAAAACATATTGATAAAGCTCTAGAGAAAAACCCTGGAACATAATGGAGGATAAATAGCAGTCCATGTAATGTTTAGAAGCACACTTTTTTCATTCTGCCTTTATTACTTGTAATACTATAACCTGGCCAGGCTGACAGCAGTCCTCATGGGATCACTTTATTAAAATGCCCTTCATAGAAGAATGTGGGCTGTATGAGTATGACTACTGTTCTATAGTTAGCTTTTGATTTTGCCAGTAGATGTAATATTTACTGTAGACAGCTGAACTGTTAACTATGTGGCTTATGAAACATTATAGTAAATGAATAACAAATGAATAACAAATAACAAATGAATAACAAAGTTCAACTCCCTGAAGACAAATTAGAAAGGCTGTACGGACTGGACTGTAACCCAGTAGAAAGTTGAACTACTAAGCTCTTTATTTCTCATGGCGTATGCAATTCTTTCTATTTTAGTTATCTTCTGTCTTTCTATCAATTCTTTCTATCTAGTTATCTTTTTTTAAATTACAAATGAATTACAGTGAATAACCAATCTATGAAATACAAAAGCATAGGACATTAGGACACAGTTTGACATTGCATTAGAGGTGTTGTTAAAGATGCGTTCTGACAGAGTGCCAGAAGTAAAATAAGTGCAGGTAGCTCTGTCCATGCTGAATTTCAAATGTCACGTTGCCAGTTGTTGACCGTATTTCCCTGATTATCTTGTTTCTCTACCTACATTCTCCTTCAGCAGTGCTGGTCACTGTGAGCCACAGCCTACAGCTAAATTCCACTGGTTTCCATTTACTGTGAAAATGTGCTTCCACACCCGAGAGAGACACACCAAGAAATAAGCATTTTTCAAGTTAAAACTGTGTATATCAAGCAATACATGGATTACAGACGGACTGTAACCCAGAATTAGTTTTTAATGACTACTGTATATGTGTAAACTAAAGGGAATTTGTATGATAAATGAATGTGTCAATACATTTGAAATGCATGGCATTACATGGTACAACACTCCCTAAATACCCACTGAAGCTATTCAGTACTCTTTTGGAAATAAATGCCAGAGGCGGCTGACTGCTGGTTTAAGACATGACCTGTTGACAGAAGCGATCTTTCAATCACAGGCCAGTTTAACATTGTTTTGACAGACCACCTCAGAGTGACTTATATTCCACTTGTCTTACTCATTTTTTATATCAAGTCTTGCTTGTGGTGCATCTTAGAATGATGCGAGATAAAACCCAATACCAATGTCCTGGCTCATTGCAGAAACAAAACTATTTGACTTTCTTGTAAATTAATCTCTCTCTGTATTAACACTGTAGCAAAAGTAATGGGACTTGAGTTTTGACATGCAACTTGTGACTCTTATAAATCTGCCTTGCCCCAGGATCTTTACTGTCATGATTCAGTATTACTAAAAAAAACACAGGCACTGCATTCACTTTTTAAGTAATGACTAACTGATTGCAGCCTTTTGAAATTAATCAAACTAATGAACTAACATAAAATGTAGTACAGTACACTGTACATTACTTGCATAGACCTTGTTTTCACCTACTTTAATTGTTTCACACATTGGAATTATTTGCTCATGTGTTAAGCGTGCTGTTGATGCTTGTGTGGACAAAAGGACTTGAGAGTTCTTGATAATTCTTATATCAGAAATGAAACTGTGAATTTTCAGCTGTGACTTTAAATATACTGTATATCCAGAGCAGCAGCAAGAAATGCAGACCCTTGCCCTTGGCCAGGAATGAATGCTGATTATGAAATATATATTGGAAATTTGCTAGTGGTGACATAAAAGCCTTCACTTTTCTCTTCAAGAACTTCCTCATTAACGTAATTGTCAAGGATACACAGTCTAATGGAAAATTTGGAAGCAAAATATATGCTAAAAGCACTAGTTTCCCATTTTTCTTTTTAAAACTATGAGTGTTGGATTGTGCCCGTGATGATGAGTTTTCTTAGCTGGAGTGCATTTGGAAATTCATGCTGCATTCTATGAAATGAATTAGCATTGTGTGATGGCAGGCTGCTCTCTTATGTGGCTTTCTGTGAAATGTGTTTTGGAAAGTTCACCACTTGGTGATTATTGAGTAAGGTGTGTCTCCCTGGAGTTTCTGTGAAGGGAGATGAGAGATCATGAGACGGGAGTCTGATTTCCCCAGTCGAACAGCACCAGGTACAGTTTTAATTGCCCTCACCAGCTGCGCAGTAAAAAAATAGTTATTTCGAATTCTAATTTTGCATAGAGGAAAAAGAGTACTGATTTCCTCAGAAGCGCATCTAGCAGTAACTCAGTCCTTAGACCTTGAGAGGAAATACTGTATCTAATGAGTACTATGAGAAAAAAATGTTGTGGTTCAGGTATGAGTGCATTTGTCACTCATTTGGTTACATATTTGGTTACATATTTAGTAAACAACTGGGCAGATGTGACACATGTTTTATTAAATCCCCCAGAGATATACTCAACTGTACACAAAAAGAGTAGAATACGAATAGAGTAAAAGCACAATATAAATGATCAGAAACTTCAAATTAGAAGTTCTGTTTGTTGGTTTTGATCCCAGATAAAATCAAAAGTGTACTTTTCTTTTAATATGTGTAAATTCCATGTACGCAAAACATATTGAACTAGCAATCTATACTGCTATAAAACATAAATATACTGTAAATAACGGATATAAAAATACTGAAGTACTGTAAATAGTTTTTGCTTAGAGATTAATACATTTCAGTATGCAATGTACTGTCATGTTCAGTAAAATGTCTGGGGCTAGCAGTGTTTTTCTCCATGTGTTTTTGGTATTTAAATGACCCAGAGCAAGTAGCTATTAACACATCACAGATGTGCCCAAGATATTTTAATCTAATTCTAACTGGATATTAATGACAGAGGAGGCAAACAGAAGTGCCAGTATAACACAATGCCCTTTTTTTCTAAAATAAGAGGGAGAGAATGAGAAGAAAACTCTGAAGAAAAAATTATACCTCAGTTAATGCCTATATTGTGCTTTTTTGAAATAGGTACAATTATATTTCGTGAAATACTCCTTTGTTTCACTGTCCATTTTTAACCTTTTTTTTCTACAGGTGTATTGATGTAATTGATTGTTTTAAGCACAAATAATTTTTCTGGATCTCAGAGCTTAGCTTTTTGTTTTGTTCTCCAGTCTGATTGATTCTGCTGTTCAAGGAGTTAAATCATACCATGGATGCATAGAAAGTAGATTTTCTATTAGGTTACGTTATTGTTTCTAGACAGCTTGACCCTTTCATGAGCAGTAGTACTACAACATGCAGTATTTAACAGAGGAGTTGTTCTTTATGATGTATTTTATTTTACTTGCTATATTATACACAGTTTCATGCACTGGATACCCTTAAATGTTTCTGTTCTATTAAATACAGGAGATGTTCCTATCTGGCCAGTTTATGGTTACAACTCAGAAAATAGTCTATGATGTACTGTATATACTGTAAGGGGAACAGGGAAATGGAACCCTATTAATACACAATCGATTGCTGTTCAGAGGTTTCATAATGTCTACTACATTGCTGGCAATCAAGTGGCACACTAGATATACAGACATGCTGTAGTCTGCACAATCGATCCTCATTAATAGTTTGTTTAATTGAAGTGGGGTCTTGGTGATATGGTTAGGAAAAACCCTGTTGTCCTTGTCTGAGGGTCTGTTGTATCAGGGTTTGCTTTTAAGGAGCACATCAAGAAAAATAAAAAATATACAATTTATAATTAAGTAAAGGATTATCGAAAGTAGGACAGATTGGTTTTAAATAAATTAAGACGGTGTTTAATTCAATTACAGGTGGGTTGGACCCATATATAATGAATATATTCTGAAAACAAAACTGAAATAATTTAAAAATACTTACTTAATTATTTAACAGAGCAGACAAAATGTTTGCTGACATTTGAATAGCATGTTAATGGGTCCAAAATCCAAATGCCAATGCAGTTGAAAATTCTAAAGATTTTGTAGAATGAGTTTTCAAACAGACATTGCATGCAAAATCCTTGCAGATAATGCCCCTACGTTTGTTTTCCTGAGTGATTGATGCCCTGAGAACTTGCAAGCTCAGTCAACCGACAGACTGTCTCTCAATAGAATGCAGTGTTGAGAAAGAGTGGGCACTGTGGTTTGATTCTAATGAATGAGTCTGAGGTAAGCTTGAGGCTTACATTAATTTTCTAGACGTAATGAGATTTGCTGCAAGCTTGCTTTAATCTGTCTGGAAAAATCAGTCTTCCAAAAATGCAGGCATCTCACCACACTTCAAGACCAGTCAGGGCTTTTCAGACCTAATATTGCATTTTTCAAAACATGGTCTGATTGCATTTTACTTGGTATTCATCTGTCAAACCATGTTAAAATTATGCCCTCAGAATACTTTTAGTTAGAAAGTACTGTATGTGATGTGTGCTATAGTTGATTCTCAGTTAATTAAAATCCATTACCCCAATGCCATTATCCTATTAGTCTCTATGAGGGATCTGATTTGTGACCTTTCTGCCAGATAGTTCAAAGGGAAGTGTGCATAATGAATGGCATTAAAAACATGTTGCAGGTAAATAATAATTAAAAACAATGTGTTTATCTGGATAAAACTGATGGAGTACAACATTTCTCCATTTTACAGGTTTGCACAATCGAAAAACCAAGCTTAACCCTTATATAACTTTCAGCTCCTTAGAAATCTGTCTTCAGATTACTTCACTTTATAACACATCTCTAGGTTCTACTGTCAAACTAGTTTGCGCCATTATACAACTGCCGTTGAAGCCTCAGAGAGGCTTTGTAAAGCAGGTGAAAGGTGGAAGGCACTGCCACATTGCTTGACTAAGCTAATATGAGGTCTAATATGAATCCTAGTTATATGCTCCTATAGGAGTTGCTACTAGTCATGTATAGAACTGTAAAACTATCCATATAGTAAAAGGTAACAACATCGCAACAAAACATCCTGTGATAACTGTGATACAACTTCAGATGTTTATTGTTCTTTTTGCATGGTACATTGGATATAGGAAATAATAATCATATATAGGGTGTTCCTTAATGTGTACAAAAAAGTGCAAGAGAATTGGTGCTAAATAAAGGCTGTGAAAACATTTTCTATTTGTACTTGTGTCACTTCACATACTGTATGTTTATTTAGACAAAAAAAACGTTTATCACTAGTTTGGTTAAATTCTGACAATGAAGAAACAAGCCAACAAATATAAAGGGCTAGCATACTTTGAACCAGGAATGAAACAGGAATGAACCAGAGAGGCAGCTGCAAGGGTGAAGCTGAGGTGGAGACGTGCTAGCAGGGATGCTAGAATAGATATGTGCAGAGTTGTGAACAGGGGACAAGTAAATATTCATATATAAAAAAGTGGAAGTGCACCCAAATGTCTGTTAAATTACACCACATACAGTATTGTTACTTCGTTCACACCTCTCTTTCTGCTCTCCTCCCCACCATTTTGATCCAGGTATTCCTTTCAGGATGAGGAAGACATGTTTATGGTGGTAGACCTCCTCCTAGGAGGAGACCTGCGCTATCACTTGCAACAGAACGTCCATTTCTCCGAGAGCACGGTCAAGCTCTACGTCTGCGAGATTGCACTGGCCCTGGACTACCTGCAGAGTCAGCAAATCATCCACAGGTCAGCCACTGCACACACACCACAGGAATATCAGAGGGGAAATGAAGGAGAAAAATCAACAGCTGTGTCTTAGTGGAAAACTGGATTTTCATCAACATACAGTAGTTTTAGTCAGGAAACAGAATATTTAAAGTTTCATAAGGGAAACAAATGTTCCTTTTGCAAACAGAAAATATAGACATTTACATACACTGCAAAATTTTGTTTGGAGTGAGGCATTAAAGCACATTGTTTTACCATTTAATGTTGTTGTTACAGGAATACAAAAAGGCAGTGTATTCTTTAATCAATTTTAAATATTTTTCTCATTTACCCTCACAGAAGGAAGTAATCTGATCTTGTTGCAATCAACACAACTTTTCCTATTTAATCAGCTCCACTCCAATCTGTCTAGACTCTGCAGAGCTGAATTATGCAAACTAAGAAGTACAATGTCTAAATTTAACCTCATCTATATGTAAATTAAAACTAATTACTATACATGGAAATAGCAAATGCACTTTAATTACACTTTAATTATGCCAAGGAAAATATGAAAATAATGTCAGTACTGTGTGAGCAATGAGTACCATTCAGCAATACCCCTAAGAGTTGCATTTAGTTATTTCTGCAATTCTTTTATTTGACACAATAAAGTGTATGGTACTCAGGACATACAATAATCATGGGACACAGTTTGTAGTAATTGATTTTGTGGTGTATTAAGAATCTAACCTCCTTCAAAAGCACCCTTCCACCATAAAGCATTTCCCAATGATCAATATTGGTTTTCGTCTAATAATCTAGTTCTCTTCTTTGTTTCACATTAGGAATACTTAGAATACTGAAACTCAACATTAAAAACACCACGTAAAAATAATTTCTTTTAAACACCTGGTCTCTACTAGTAACAAAAAGGCAACATTTTGTGGTACTGTAGTGCTACAATCCATTAGAAGCACACAAATGAGTGGAGAGTTGTAGAATTAGTATGTACCGTATGGCATTAGTTTAATCATCAAACAGGACACATTGATTTGAAACTAGTCGAGAGAGGTTCATAAGAGATGTTACATAATTACTGTACATCATTCTTCTTACATTTATTACATGCAGGAGACAAATACAAGTAGAATAGTGAGTCCACTTTGTGGCACAGATGAGAAGAAATAAATACCCTGGAGTATTCACTTCCCTGAACTTATGTCTGCTTCAGTGAATTCCATTATGAACACCTGATGATTTTACAGGATATGGCTAAGATATCTCTAATGCTTTGCTAGCTGTAAAATACAACCCAATCATGTTTTTATTTTGATGTAGGGATGTAGGGAGTGACATTTTATAGGGCTCTACAGTTTCTGATTGATAAATAATAGCATTTTGTGCTCTTTCCTGCTTCCTCTCATATAGATTAAGATAATGTGGTGAAAGCACATAATTTATTTAGGCTAATAGAAATTCTAAATAAGATGTCTTTAGAGCCACAGAGGCCAAGTAAGTGCTTATAGACTAATAGGGTAATTTTTCAAACTTTGTGCAAAGGGAGGGTTGAACAATACACTATTGAGATAGGGAGAAGAAAGCCCAAAAGGTAGGAGTATACTTTATCTTTATAGGAGTATACTATCTTTATGTTTCATAGGAGTATACTCCAATTTCTTTCAGGTTATGCTTGTAATGGCCTGAATTACAAGGTAAAAATAAAGAACCCTGATGGTTCTCATGTAAAAAAAAACAACAATAAAACTTCAGTGGTGTAAAATGAGTCCCAAGGGGTGAAACACAACATATGTAACAGATTCTCTGCAATTAGGCATGTGATTAACAGAGAAACTCAAGGTACAAAACAAGGTGAAAGAAATAATATTTTTACACTGTAGGACTCTAGAGAAATAGGACTATGAGGTATTCATGAGTAATGTATTTGCAATGTACTGAAAGCCTGATTGAAATTTGAAAAGAAGTCTCTAAAGAAAGTTTGATACAACCATTACTGTTTATTCCCTTTTGAATACCTTCCCTTATTCTGTGTATCTTTCTTACACAAAAAATAATTATTTGTGTTTGTAAGAAAATTCACTGCTTTTTAAGGGGATTTTATAGTAATGTTTCTTTGAAGAATAGATCATCTCCCTTACTCTGCTCTCCCCATTCTGAAACTTTCCTCAAACTCAATGTATTAAATACTAGATACTTGAAACGTCAGATGAAACCTTGACTTAATGTCCTCTATTTGGGTAATTATGCCTTAATTTTTCTCATTGGCATCAGGAACTCTAAATTTATCTGTCATTCACCCTTGGTGGTGAATGTGTCCATTTACCGTAAGTTTCAAATTTCAAATTTCAAAACACTTCTACACTAAGCCAAAATACAGTACCTAGAAGGAGTTGTTACATTCTAATGAGTTTAACTGTACTATTAATATTAATATAAAACGACTTAAATGTGTCATATTTAGAGAGGACTATATCTTTCATGGGCCTCTAAATGATTCCTTTCATGCAAGGAAATTGAGGGCTGTTCAGAATCACAAATAATCAACGTTAATTATTACAACATATATGAAAATGCTTTAAACTTTAGGAAAACATATCCCACAGTCCTTAATAAAGTCAAAGCAGGACATCTTCAAACCAGGCTAATTACTGTACATCTGGAGTGAATCTGTAAAAAAGACGACATTTTAAATCTGATTGCTCACTTGGGTTTTGGGTTTTGGGTTTTGGGTTTTGGGTTTTGAATACAAAAAATAAGACAATATATTTAAAATGAGCAAGTAGAGCAGTGTACAGCCAAGAACAAATGTGAGCTTTGTTAACAAAAGTAAAAAGAAAGTAACATTTACATTCTCAGTAAGGCACTTGGTCCTGTGATCTTGCCTTGTTTACTGTATGTACTGTAAAATGTATCTCTTAATATTTTGGTGACTCTGCACAAGGTGGTTGACAGCACTGACAGCACCTTTCCACATTTTATAAGCACTAACAGAAAAGCAACTCTGAAACATACAGTATAAGTATTAATGGCATGCTGAACATTACATTGAGCACCATGGAGAAAAAGAATGTAATAAAATGACATTGATGAAATGTTTATGTTTATTTAACAAGTCTTTCTTGTTTGGTCTTCTTCCATCTTTGGAGAAGCTGGCTGTAATTGCCTTCTCTGCTTCTTCTCTCTCTCTAGAGTTTAAATCACAATTTTATTTTTTATTTTTTTAACCAGATCCTCCTGGATAATAATTACTAGTAACAGAAATTCTTTAGTCAATGCCTTAAGTTTT